GGAGTCCTACGATAAAGCAGCGTGGGCACGTTTAATGGCATAATTATGCGATTATGATGGAGCCAATTAACGATCGAACTATGCTCTAACGTAGAGGCATCGAAACTTTACCTATAGACTTCAACTCTATTTTTAACAAATAAAAAATGAATTTGACTCATTAAATATAAGATTTACATTCGTGCTAAATTTATTTCAAAGCAGATTATTGATAGAATCTTTCAATTTAATAATAAGTATTGATATTCAACATAGAGATAAGTGTAATCTTCTTAATAAAATATGATACAAGATGTAAATCTTGTTCTTGTTTTATCATTGGTTTAATTAAATGTTAAAAAATTTTAGCAGAAAACCTGTATTGAAAAATGATCAATTAGGTAACAATTAATATCGTTTAACGTCATCAGTCGAGCAGCTAATATATTCACTGCGAACTGCGTTTTTGGACAAAAACGGATGCCCGTAAAACGAATTTGCACATCCCGCGAGAATATCAGTTAGTTGCCGGGAATTGTAACGAATCATGCAGAGTGATACGGTGCAATTGGCGATGGTATAAATTATCAGGCTTCTAGCTCGTTTGGAAATTTAACGGATAATCGCAGGGATTGCCGAATTGTGGCTCGAGTTCGTGTGACGCGCATGAATAATGGGCTTGAAATTACACGCCGGACCTGCAATAATGGCATCAATAGCGTAACAAAGATATCTTTAACAAAGATATTACATGCTTTCCTGGAATATATTTCAACCGGTCCTTAATTATTACGCTCACATATTTATGGATGTGCATCTATTAAAATAAAACCAGCAAATTAGCGATATTTAAAATTTAATTTAATTTTAATTAATTAACGCGTGTGTTCATAAAAATTCAGTCGTATGTATAATTTTTTTAATTGTAAAAAAAGATATTTAATGTTGTACAGTGAAACGCTTTTATCTATAATTTAAAATAAAAGTGAATGTATTAATTAAATTTTAACTTATTAACGCACGTTTAATCTTGGTTAATATTGGATAATAAGATTATACCTCGATATTAAATAGATTTTGGCGCTTTTAGTCAAAATTTTCGCACGTACTTGCCCTTTACGCATTAAAATAAAATTGGTGAGTCTCCCTAAAGGGAGACACGTTTCACTTATATAGTAGAATTTTGTCTCACTAAATCACTCACGCACTTGCAGAGAAATTAGACTGAGTATTTTGATTTCTTCTGTTCTATATATTAACGAATTAGACGTTCTATTCTAGTACAATTTATGGAGGAATAACTGAGTGTGCGTAAAGTGTTTTAATTAAAAATTTTTACACGCACTATGTGGCGAGCTTAACCTGTTAACACGCACTCGAAATGGAAGCATTAAATTTGTAACTATCATAATGGACGGGTAGCTTACTGGTGTACATCGTTTTCTACAATAGCGTCCAGCAAAAAGCCCATATTTAAAAGACTCGCGCGTGTATGGGTGTATATATTCACATGAACTCGTCTAGTCACGTAACGGAATAACGGAAATTAAAATACTGCCCGCATGGAAGTCGTTGTGGAATACTACAGATATATTACGGTGTAATATTACGATATTCAGTTTTATTCAGTTCTCAAGTATTCCTTCAACACTTCAATTCAATGCCGCAATCTCCATAGCCAAAATTATAACCGTGATTTAATTTTTACCATGCATTATTCGCGATTTAATCTTTAATAATTATTTTGTAGGAAATAGAAGATATATATATATATATTAGGTGTTGGAATTAATTATATATATATAAAACATAAAATTCGCAATTTAATTGATACGTTTATCTCTTTATATTTATTATTATATCTAAATTAATTTAATCTCTTAACGGTGTGTAAAGAATAATTTAATATTACTACCTAAATTTGTAAAATGTTTTTCCTGTTTAAAAAATACAGAAAAGAAAATAGTTTATTTTTTATTTAATCTCTTCAAAAATTTCTTTTTTTTTATGGAAGATTAACTATTTAAATTCCAATTTTAATAACCGAATCTTTATATCGTTTATATATAATCCAGTAATAATACTGTAAAATGGAACAAAACTTTGAAAAGAAAATTATGCAAAACAGAATCATTTTACAAAAGAGGTCAATTCCAGAAGTTGTCAGATACCAATCGCTGAAATAAATGAGTGGTATCAAGGGGCGATATTGCGTACGTAATGAATATCATTGATCAAATATTAATTTGATTAAATATCAATTTGAATATAACTATACGATCGGAATAATGTAGAAATCTACCAGAAACATTATCACTCGCTTATCAAATGTGGAATCACTATAACAAAATCGATTCCATTTATAATATTATTTAATTTATTGCTAGAAAAATAAAAGTAAATAAAAAGAGGTGTTAAAAAATTATTGTTTAGTTTATATTTCCACGCAAGAGAATCGCAATTTAAAAAAATATTAAAATGTATATAAGAATAATCACAAGATAATATGATCAAAATACATAATGTACAAGAAGTGCAACATAAAACGGATCCCTCTTTCAATGACAAAGAAAGAAAAATTAATTGAATAATAACAAAGTAGTAATAAAATAGAAAGAATAATAAAGAAATAGATAAGCAATAAAGAAATGAAAATAGTTATAGGTATCATCGCTTCGTAATGAAAAGCTAACAGTTCATTCGCGATATTGAAATATCGTTGGATATACGTGAATAAACGAACGTGACTGTCGACAGTGAGCGATTTTCGCTTTTCTTCGGAAAAAAAAATACACAGAAAAAGGGGGAAAAGATGAAATTACGAAAAATCAAAGAGAGAGAGAACGACACAGAAAGGTAGCTTCATTATTATTGCAGACACGAGGATTATTCGTTTAACTTATAATTAATACTAACTAGCTCGAACATCTTTTCCACTAATTTCTTTATTTTTTTTTTAATATAATATTTTACACACGAAATTATTCTTTCCACATGAATTTAGTTAACTACTAAAATAGTGGTAAAGCTAGTAAATAAAATAATATATCTGAGAAGAAACTCTTTTAATGAAAAATAAACATAAAAGTTGTGTTTATAATGCTTCAGAGAGAGCTCCTTTGTTATACAATTACAAAATGTAAAATTTTATGGGCAATAGAAAAAAGCGAGCTCTTTCAAAAATTAACTTTCAAAAATACAATCATACAGAAATCCACTTAGCGGATTTAAAACTAGTAATATTAATTATCAATGTTAAAATAATAAATTCATATTACCAAAACTATAATAATGAAATTAAATTGGTGATAACGCCAACAAAATATCAAAAGTAAAATAATAATTCATGAAAAATATAGAGATGCAACTCGTTAAAGATATCGAAACTCAGCAAACTTATATAGCAAGAAAACGTTATTTTAAAATCCCACAGAAAAACGTATGGAGACCTGTTGAACTCAACCAGATCGACTTGGTAAAAATCTGAAAATTTTCATATGGATCCATACTTATTTTCGTTTTTCGCTTATTTAACAACTTAAGAAAAGAGTAAAGGAAGTTATTTTTGCTACTATTCACTACTATTATAAATGTGAAAATGTCGAAAGAAAAGTATGACCGATATTATAGATATTTTCTGATATCGGTGATCATCTCCATTACGAAGAAATTTCGTCGATTTTCTTGATATATCGAAATCTCTTGGAAGCGAAATATGAGAAGGATTTACATTGAGTAGGAGAATGGGATAAAACGTCAGAAGAACGGCGCGTTTTATCGATGCCATTTGCGACGATACCTTTTGTCCAGCCTTTTCTGCTATATCGAAGATTGCCGGTCTTTCTTCGATCGATCGAATTGTGCGCGAAGGGAAACTTCGTGATTGCACTTTCCCATTTCCCAGCAATTTCCGGAATGGGACATGATCGATCGTGAAACTTTATCTCTCTCACGTTCTCACTCTTTCTTCATTTTCCTTCGTGTGTGTCATTCTCTTCGCAGCATTTCTTCGCAAACGATTTGATTCACGTTCGAAGGTGAAGGTCAGAATGTCATTTACAGCAAAGAGAAACACGAGTCATCGATTTTGCGATTATCGACAGGATAAAATTTCTAAAGTTGCGGATCGTTATAAATATATACGATATTGAGAAATTAGATCGCAGGAAAAACGCAGGAAAAAAGGACTTCTCTTCATCGAAGGAAGGAGGTCATGGAAGAAAATCGAAGTGTAAAGTCGTTTAGTATTCCGGCGGTATCGTCTTTCAACGTAAAGGTACACCGATTAGCTCTGTGACGAACAAATCGGCGATCCATAAAGAACCGCGAACGAAATTGCCGACGTGCCGAAAATAAAAGGATATAAAGTAAACGTGACTGGCGTATCATCGAATTTTCTGACCGATTTCTCAGTTAAATTGTTGTACATTTTTCAGAAATACAGCACACGAAATAATAACTTGCAAAATGAAAAACGTGTCATTAACAGACAATCATGCAATTTTTTTAATTTTTACAATATCGTTAACCATTTTGTCTTTAATAAAATCTACAGGAAGAAAACGTGATATAACATCATTATTTTCATCCTGTTACGAACTAATCCGATTAAATTCTTCGTCGAGATTCTTAGAATACAAATGAAACGATGTAAAAATTGCAAAATTACAAGTAATAAACGATTAATCTAAAACGTAGCGAGAGTGAAAAGAAGATAGAACATAAACATTAATTAATCAACGTTTCTTCTTTGCTGGTAATAATAAATAATTAAATAAGAGAATACTTCTCGCGTGATAATTATATCTCGAGAGATAGAAAAAATGAAAATGCAATTTTCTAAATATTAATATTTAATTCTAATATTCTTCTGTCTTATATCTTATTCTATTAACCATAACATTTTATTGCACAGTTATTAACATATTCTTTAGCGCGGTTTTTCAATGCTTTCGTATCCGAGAAAAATTCCATACAATCAAAAAATATTAAATAAACACTTTGCTTAAAGTTAAACTTACCTATAGGTGATGAACGCAAACACCAGGGCCACCAGAGACAGGCTTCCTCCGAGAACGACGATGAGGCTGAGCACGCCGTCTTGGTCGAAGGAACTTGCGATTCCCGTGGAAACGCCATTAGCTATTCCGCCGCCGGGTTGCGGAAAACCATGAATTGCGCCGGTGTAGAGCGTCTCCATGTCGCCGTTATACCAGCATCTACGAACGACAGAATAAATCCAATTTATCAAACGAATACAAATGAAAAGCAAACATGAAGATAATTAGAAAGAAAAGGATAATTAATATATGTAAGGGAAAAATATGGAGACATATGCCGCTTTTGAATTTTTAATTACCACATATCCTTAATTAAGGGAAATGATAGATAATGAAAAATAGGAAAATAGATTTAATTAACTGGAATTAATTAATGCATGCGGCAGCGCAAATACTTTTGCCATTTACCCGATCCCGATGAAATTAAAGGAAGAACAAATTAATAATAAACGTTTATCGCAATATAGCTTCGGTTTTCATCGTCGTAAATTTTAATTAGCAACAGAGACTATTAACTCTCGGGACGTGGATTTTGACGATTCAAAACGTTAGGGATATCAGAGATTACCGCACCCGAGGAAACAGTTTTGTGTAATATATTCGGGCTGCTGCACGTGTTACTATTATATCTCTGGACGATATCAGAGAATTCGTCCTGAGTAAATCTTGGTCTAGCATTACTGGAACAAGGACACTTTATATCGTATATTATATAATACTGTAATTTAATTTTCTTGTCATAAAGATAATGCAGAGTTTAAAATGATTTCAATTATATTTAAATATAAAGAACAATTATATATATCTCTACGATTTTTTTTAATATTTAAGAAAATGAAAGGAAATAAAGTAAACGCGAAATATGTTTTAATTATTTAAATATCATTGGCAAAATAATAACAACAATTCCGATATGCCAAACGCGTGTTAACTTATTTTTCTCAACTCACACATTTTGATTAAAATTGTAAAATCAATTATCTCCGAAATATATTGTTTATCTTATTTTGTTATTTCCCCGTGCAACAATTCTAAATTATTTATCAAAACTGCAAACCCTGATCTCAACTCATCCGATACGAGCTCCAACAACTGTCGGACTTGTTCCAATTTATTTCACTAGCACGCATTGACGAACACGCGAATCTTTTTTCAAAGAATATCATCGTAATTAAATCAAATATTTAAAAAAAGATAATCAAATATACATATATTATGTATTTTATTTTGAAAATGACATAATCAAACGGTGTATTCAATACATAATTGATGTAGATAATTAATTAAATATCTCTGTTTTTCGCATATACACGTTTGATAACCATTTATTTACGTAAACAAAATTGGATTTCATTATCTCAATTCGACGTAAATGATTTTATAATTCATACGAGCATGAACCTTATTGTGGAAAACATGGACGTGCCGTGAAATCGTATACAAGATATATTGAATGGTGATGTTAGCCGATCAAATATAATTAACTTGTTAATTGTGAGCACAACATTTGCATTGTCAACTTCGGGTAACAATGTACGAGCAAAAGTTTTCCACGTCACGGCAAATCGATCAATCTTTCTCATGAACTGGTCAGCAAACGAGATTTTTAAATTAATAATAATACGTATGCTAATTTCCAAGTTGTTAGTTCAATCACAAAGTTTTAATTGAATCAACCATTTTAAAATCTTCAATTAATAATTTAAATTTTGCACGAACACAATGTAAACGTGTTTTGATGTACTTTTTATGTGTTTTTTATTTAGCCATCACCTAGATTCATTATAAATGTTTCTTTCCCCTTATAACTTGCATATACCAGTAGCAGATTAATAATACTGTGACACATTTATTATTATTATTAAATAAGTATTGATGTTATACTGACTAATATAATTCATTAATTTAGTTAAATTATTAAATTATTGATATAAAACCGACTTAATTAAATTATTAATATAAACACACTCTTATTAATATCGACACACTCTTACAAATATCAAAAAATGTTATTTGTTAAAGTAATTAATTGTTATTTTAATAAAAATATTTACAAAATTCTTTGTTTATTGTTTTTGTTAAAATCATATCCTCCATGTTTGTCACTTCATATTCTAATTGAGTGAAAGATGAGAAGTTACTTTGCAAGTAACATGATTTTTATTTCTTCACGACAATACTTTTCACGCAATAACACACACAATTCATCATCCATCTCGAGAACTTTCACGACACCTTCCCCTAGGAAAGCAAACTGTATGACATTAACGGTGAAAAGGGCTTCTAACCTTTATCCGACATTCGCCATGTAAAAGCGTACGAAAGCCGTGCTTCTCTCGTTTGTACGAAATTCACTTTTGCACATAATTACCTGTATGTATAATTAATATTTGCATAATATTTTCCTTTATAAAATTTTATTCCAAATTTTCCTTCTTCTTTCTATTCTTCGGATTTATATAGCGAGAATTCTTTTTGATTGAAAGATTAAATTCCATTATATTATAAAGAAAGCACAATTTGTATTCATTTGATAATTTTACCTTCGTTTATTAATAGTAGAATAGTATTATGGGATAGTGTATTGGAGGGGAATGAAATATAGCATTTCGGAAGCCATCAAATGTCATATATATTGCAATGATGAACGCGATCTACGTGCAACCGACTGGAAGTGCGAAATGGGACATGTCACGTTAACTATTCCAATCAGCACTAGTTGACAACTGCGCGCTACGTAATAATGTTTAATGGCATTCGATGATAGTTCTGCATATCGATCAATGACGATATTGGTTATCAATCGCTCAACCAAAATACAAAATACAAAATACGTGATAGATAATATTGAGTAACTGTTTTCAAGCCCCATCCGATGAACATTCGCGCAAATTAATATCCATTCATCATTTTATTTTGTTCTAAGCTTCACTATACTCGTCCTAAAAACTTTCCGCAATATTTTTGGACATTCACATCTGTATTGCGCAAATTGCGGCCAATGAGTTGACGACTGGTGCTGATTTATTGGAAGATTTACAGATAATTCGGCCTTACAACAAACTGACATGACTGTCTTTTTTGTCCAGATATACAATGTCCCGATATGTGTATTGAAAAATTATATTTTCAGTAAATATTACAATCAAGTAAAGCTCATTTTAAAAGGAATTGCTTAAACTTTAACCAAAAATATTGTAAGTACAGTTATTACTGTATTATGATACCGTTATTAATATATCAAAAGTTATTTGCGTAGAATTTCATGTAACATTTCAAATGTACGAAAATCTTTTATGGGATACGTCTGCCATTAAAATATTATTTCAAAGCGAATATAAAAATATTGATTTCCAACATTTGTATTTTAAATACCGCGTTAAATGCCGGTAACTTTTACTTTAATATAAGAGCATACGAATATGATTTTCTATAAACATTCTATTCGATTTTCCTCGCTGCAACTACCTAAAAGTAATTGATTGTAATATATATATATATTTGTATTACATGTTATATATGTCTATCAATGAGTACTTTATATCATTACTCATTTCATGCATATTTTATTTTTATATCTGTTTACGACGCAACGTAAAGATCAGCCATCAATGATCGGTGTTTTGGCGTAAATAAATATTAGAGTAAGTCGAATATAAGGAGAGAATAATAGGACCGTAAACAAAGCTTTTAGCAGTAAAAGTTGGACTTTTACCTTTTGTTGTCTCAATTTTCGCCTCCTAAAAGCTTACGTTTCTGTCATTTTTCCTTTAGTGACCGTATATGCGGAGTATACACATACAAGTTTGATGTAAGAAAGTAACTTAATGTACTTTCTATGTAAGGAAACTATAAAAGTATTGGCGTAAGCGAAATAAATTAGTTTTATTTCTTATTTCAACTTCATCCCTTACGCACAACTCGCGCAGTAAGATTGTTAGCTGGTGCTAATATGATAAATAAAATAAAAATTACCACAATTGCATATTTTGATTTCTTACACCAGACTTACTCCGTATTGTAATCGAGTACTTACATTTGATTTACATTCCGATTTATATGATTAAAGTTTAGAGCATTCGTGGAGCGAAAATTAAAAGTAAGCCAATTCTATTGATTTTTATTTTCCCCAAGGTGTTCAAATGAAAACTAAGATTATAAGCATTTTCGTAGTCCATTTTTATAATTAGGACCATCTTAAGTACAATCTTAAGATATCATGAGCTGAATTAGTATAAACATATATTTATCTTAAAACAGTGCTTAAGATAAAAATACTTGAAGAAAAATACTTGAAACAACTACATGTATGAATAAAATTATAAAGATGTAAAGATGCTTAATGCTGTGTATTTTCTCACAAAATTGATTTTTATTGTTTATTACTTAAGACGATCTTAAAATAAGAACTGATCCAGCGTTTTTTCCAGATGAGTCAGACTTACTTCGCACTCTTGGCAGAGACGCGTCGACAAAATGGCAGGATCAACGGATCAGCAGACAACTCCGTCGCTCATGTTTCGCAGTGACGATCCATGTGACGAGCGCGGCAGGAGTCACGTGATGGCGCAAAACGGCTGCTTCGCGTGTTCCGCGAGACCGGCACCGGCCGGCACGTCGAACGGGAAATGCTCACCCTGATCGTTATCACTCCTTGATACGACCGACGCTCTGCTGCGCATTCGAATTCATCGCGTTTCTTTCGCGCTTCTGCCTCCGAGAGTCGCGGCGTTCCTTACGCCAACAAGTTCTGATGCACGTTGTCGGTCATGTCTGCAAAAATTTTGCAAAATGATAAAGTTGATAAGAAAACGGATCACTTTAGTGACTCTATAATTTTATTTAATATGGCGTCGATCGAGTTTGTAAGAATAACAGGTTGCGATATATCGTTTAATAAGGGTACGCGTTCTGAAACGTAACTAAGTTCACGTCACTACCAGAGTTTTCGGTTACATTCTAGAACATTCTCTCCGAAAAAATTTTTACTCGATTTAAGTATACGTTATGTGTACCATATATTTCGAGTAAAATTTTCATCGGAGAGAACGTTTCGAAATTATATAGTTATGTTTTGGAACGCATCTCAAGTGGGGGGAATTATTTTCGTTACGATCAAATTCAAATTATCGAAGTATCGATTCAAATAAAGCGAATGAGATGTTAACAAAATCTATCGAGATATTCGAAGGACTTGACGAGATTTTCGTATTTCTCATTCGACGAGATCGAATGTTCACTCGAACGAAAGATAAATTTACATTAATACACGGGGTTTATTGTTAAATGCGGCTACATACAAGCTAATTAATGTATTCAATTTTATTTTCACGTCAATAAATCACGCGGAAAGAGCAATGAGATTTTTACCGTGTCTTCCGTTTCGTCCTTCAGCAACCATCAAGATTCCCGACTCTTATCTTCGTTTATCAGTCATTCGCCACCTGTCGAAAGCGGTCTGTCTTTCCGGTAAATCGGAATCGCGCCGCGAGAAACGGCTTTGATCGACAGCTAACTTAACTCAACTCAGCATCGCGATACGACGGCGAGTGAAATAAAAATCGGACGACGGATTAATTCGCGGGCGAATCAACCGGGATCAGTCGTACCATCGTCCGATAGATCGCGGACGGGAAACCCGGACACAAATGCGAACGCGACGGACCGCGGATCACGACTGCGAGGAACTCGTTCGCGCTCCGCGAACGCGCGCGCGGAACTGCGCCGCGCATGTACGCGCGCCGTACGGCGTGAAGTTTGCCCAATCTCTAGGGGAACCGAGAAATTCCGCTCGATTATGTACCGCGCTTGTCTTGAAAATTACTTATTTCTCTCGCGACGGTATAATTGAATTATTTCAAGAAATGTATTAGGCAGTGCGCTTACAAAAATATTACGGAGCACAGAGATTGTTTCTTTTATTAATCCATGTTACCTAAATCAACAAGATGTTTTTTTCATTGTTTTTAGTTGATTTCTTCATTGTAATTGAGTTCAGATTTTAAGTCCCTCACCAAAACATATTGAATATGTTGATAGAAATTTTAGAGATATATCTTTTACTTAATTGTATTAACTTGCAAAAATATAGTAAATGCAAAAAGCATTCTTATAAAAAAAATTTGTATTTAAAAAGTTTTATTAAGATTCTTATAAATTTAAAAAGTTTTATTATAAACTAATACCAAGATAACGTCTTAATCACATGTCTTTGACATTAATAAGATGTCATTAAAACTTTTATCTTGTTTGCTCAAGAAAAATTTAAATGGTATAATATACAAAATATTTTGGCAATATTTTTTTATAAGTTCTTGAACATATCCGGGTTTGCCTTCACAATCGGATTGAATATTTTTCTCATATCGGATTTGTGACAGATCTCGTACTGCAGTTACGGTGAATGAAAAAGAGAAAAACAAACGGATGTGTTGAAAACAGGTCGCGTGTCCACGCTCGAAAAATCACGTAAAATTATATCGCGCGTGGATTTATGGCACGAAAAGTTTCTGAACACCACGTGGCGCAATATGGCAATAACAATATTTCTTGCATGCAAAATAACTCATCGACATGTTACAAATGAAAATCATAAGTATTCCTTCTCAAAATTTCATATTAATTTAAATGAAATTTCACGACGCAACTTCAGACTAATCGATCTTTAAATCCAATAATCGAAGATATTTTTAATAACTTGAAAGTAAAGAATAGAACTAATGCTTTGTTAATATATTGTACACATAATATTATTTTTCAATAAAATGAATGATAGTTATAAAAAATAAATACATAAATAAATAACATGTTCGTGTTTTTTTTTAATAAAATTTTTTTTAAATAAAATTTTTTTAAATAATTACCCAGTATAATAAAATTAAGAATCATTGATTATATTTAAGCAATCAAATATAATGTACGTATTTATTGAATGAAATTCTACGAAAAAAATATTCTACGAGATTTTTCTTTTTAGTAGTACAATTAATATTAATGTCATACTTTTTTTAGCACGAGATAAATCGAATAAATAACTCAATAAATCAATAGATCGTTAACGATTTAAAAGAAATGTCTGCCTGTCATTCACGAGAACGGAAAATTTTCAGTCATTCGCTCGTAACCAAGATACCGTCATCGGACGAGGTGGACAATCATTGAGAGTTATGGTAATGGACGACCTAATTTCGAAAGGACAAAAGGACTATCCTCGTTCCGCCAGGACAATATGCCCGGCTGTAACAGAACTGTTCAAAAAGATAGGTCTTTGAAGACTATCGACCCGTTGATATCCATCCTTTGCGCAAATAGGAATTAGATACTAGTTTCAATTAGCATTGGCATTAAAACACATTTCACTTGTTACGTTTAGATAAACAATTATAAATTATTATATTGTAGAAATAAATTATTCATGTTCTGATTTTTCTACAACATAACAATTTATGATTAATAACGTCTATACTAGAATAAAATAATCATTAATCTTAGTTGTATAAAGGGTCTCACATTAACAATACTCTACAAGATTTATAGTCATTTGTGACACTCCAGCTGTAGCAACGTGAGCCTGACAATAATAACGATGTGCATTGTATTACCTCACCAAAATAGAAAAGCACCCTCGGGGTGAATCTAAAGATACGGACATTCCAAGTTGTAACGCGTGTCAAAACATGATTTTTTAAAAAGCTATTATCATATCTTATAGTCAAGTACATATTAATTGAAACGAAACGCGGTTCTCGTTAAAGCGGAGCAATTTGTTTATTTATAAATTAGTAGACAAGAGAAAGATCCACTCAGCGAGAGTTCATCAACTTAAATGATAGATGAACTCCAAATTGCCTCGCTTAAGATTAATATTAATTAGTTGTTAATATTTTATTTCTTTAAAATAATATGATCCACGCAGAAAAAAATAAAGATTCAAGTTAAATAACTTTCCAATAATTTACTTACGTATATTTGACAACAGAGCGTGACTTCGGTAACGTGTATCTCATTACACAAGTACTGTCGAGTCTGAAGGTACGATAATCTGATTTCATTGTATGGGATGGAGCAATAGTCCGGCATTCGGAGTTGCGGGAACGGAGTGAAGTGGATAATCTAATTTGTGAAGGACAAAAGAGGGTTACAATCGCATAGTAAGGAGTGCTCGCGTACACGTATAAATGAAAATATAGGAAATACGGAAACGTGAAGAAATGTTATTGATGTGAACGTTGATTATAAAATATATATAGTGTATTTTTTTTCAATTACCGTCACATACAAAAAGTTAAAATTTATTTTCCTACTCATAAAATACTTGTTCATATACATATCCAAAACGAATCATACGTATGCATTTTCGTTATGTATACAAAACAAAAATGCTTCATATTTGTAATATACAACAATATACGCAAATATATTTATATATACATAAGATAATAATTATATTTACAGAAATTCATCTCAACAAAGTCATACTTTCCAATTATCGCAGTATCGTTAACTATACCTACGTTAACTATGCATCAGTCTATAGTTCATCATCGTCACAAAATTCAATCTCGTGATATGTTTCAGCTATCCAGCCAAGGAAGTACTTGACTTTCTCTGTCGCTTCATCATTGGCTTTGTAGCCCTCAATAGCCTCGGACAGGCACTTCGATAAAAGTTTTAACAAAGGCTGTGGATAATAAAATCGATGTTAACAATAGATATATGATCTAATCAACATCAGGAATTTAAAGCAACTCGGATACTAAAAAGTCACTAAAAATACTTTGTGAAAATATTTCGTCCAATTACATGTATATATTACATCTCTTATTTTTCATCATTAAAAAAAATCTTTTTTAATTTTATATTATTTGTTTAATACTAAAATTATAGAAAGTAATAATACATAAATATTTATTAATTCCATTATTTTATTTCAAATAATTCGGATTATATCGCATTTAAACTTACCACAGGCCAGTCTTGTCTAAATAAAGCTACACATTGATCGCTCAGACTATCTCCATTGAGTATCTTTGTTTCTAATAATCTTTTTAGAAATTTGCCAAAAATTGGCCATAAAGCGTCGTTTTGTGGTTGCATTAACAACATAATATTTCTAGAACACAGTATTCTATGCATAGGTGAATCATCTTCGTCATTTCTTAAACTATCCGACAACCATACTTTAATCAATTTGTCCTGGACTTCTCGCGTAAAGAGATCCGTTCTATATGCCACTAAAAATGTAAAATATCATAATTATAATTTTATCACACTCTTGAGATTTCAGTATTATCAAACATACCTAAAAATAGCGCAAAATCTATACTAAGATAACACAAAACTTTCTGTGGTCCTGGTAATAAATCATCTCTTTGATTGAATGATTGGTACAGTTTATCTACAGTATCCAATACAGACGAAATAGTCAATCCTATACCATTGTTATCCAACATATGCCATATTAATCCCTATAAACAAAAACAAGTAGAAATATGTCTAAATATTAATAGCTTAAAATCATTAATTTTAGAAACAATAAAAATTAATGTTTTTGTTTTAAAAATTATACACCTAACGCGTCAATGTATGTATCCGAATTTTAATTATTAAACTCTTTAATAAATCAAGTTTGTGTTATTATATTCTTACTCGAAGCTCGTCCATCATAGTAGTAGGATTAGGAGCATCCATATTGTGATATTTTTCCTGCTTGGAATGCACAGGACTATTGTTTCGAAAGAACCTATTAATCTCAAGTTCCATATCCTTTATAAACAAAGAATCACCGGCAATATGCGACTGAATCCACTGATTTATTCGTTCCATCGCCATTCTAGTTGCAATCTTAATGCACATTTCTTTGACTGCCGTTAAAGAATCTTCTGCTAATAAAGATTCTATCGATGCCGCGACTCGCGTTTCGCAAATTGCTAGGATTGTTTTCTCACACTGATCCTTCAATTCTCTCGACGCGTTGTTGGCCAATGTATTCATGTCACTTACAAGTAAAGCCTAAACACCAAACTATTTAAACTTAATCCTTTTTCATATAACATGAAATTTTCTTTACAATCGCGTAAAGATATTACCTTAAATTCGTTGAAGTAATTTTTTGACAATTCACTCTGTTCATCGGAGTCCTTCTCGATATGCTTGTGTTTCAGAATCTTTCTGAAAGAATTTAAGTTTGCTTCTCGCGATGAAGTCAATAAGGTGTTGCATATATGTTTCACGCAAGTTGACGCAACTCTTTCGGAAACAAAATCAACAGTCTTCCGAGTAGAAGCTGGTTGACCATGGAAAAAGGCTTCTTCCAATTGTAACTGCCATAACAGAAATTTATTAAGTGTACAGTAACATAGAGCAATATTAGAAATATAAATATATTGAATAAAAAATACCTCCAAGTGTTTTGCACGAGTAGTGCCTCCTAATCTACGTAATTGACTAGTAACAGGTGTAATATGCTTATTAGAATTAATATTCAAATTCGTCCCATTTCCATGAAACACAGAGAAAGTCGATTCCATTCGCGGACAGCACATACGCATCGTTCGATCAGTAATTATATCTAATTTGTCAAGATTACTTTTAACAGGAATCACACAATCGACGGAATGTGAGTTTTTTCTCTTTTCGAAAAATTTTTCCATCTGTTTGAGACTCTTTAGTTCCTTGATTTTACAAGTCTTTTGCCAGACAATATAGAAATCTCTGGGAAAGTTTGATAGCTCAAACAACCAACATAGGCTGGATTTAAGCAGCATAGCCGATTGTTGAGAAATAAGACAATCGGGGGTAGTAAGATCGGTCTGATTTATAGCATGATAAATATAATACAATAGTTCCAAGATTTGCTTATAATATGGCAGCCGAAGCGATACAATATCCATCATAGCTAGATATTTAACTATCCAAGGTATCGTCAGTGACAGTTTGCCTTCGATTATGGCATTCTGAAGACAAACTTGTAAATTTAATGATGGTAATATCTAATAAAACAATTGAAAAGATTACTTAAAAAGAATTTGACAGCTTTTAATATTTGAATTTTTATGTTACGTACCTTACTTCTTATCTCTATTTGTGTCATTATAATCTCTTTAGTAGTATTTGATTCAGACCTATATGGTAATGATACTAAAAGACCTAATACCTTCGCAAGAAGCCTCAAGCTGGCTAAACAAGTAATAAAATTCTGTTGCGTTTGATCATCAACCATTGTTTCTGCAAAATGAAAAATCCAGAAACAAATAGTTTTCCTAAAATTTTAAATAGAATATAAACAGTCATGAAATCATTAAAATAATAAAAACTGTACCTGAGTCTTCTATTTCACTATTAGCAAACTGAGTATCGTTCAATTCCATTATTTCATGTACAAAACAATTCTCCAAATATGTATAAAATATCGGATTAAATGCATGCAATATAAAATCTTTAAAAAATTCCTGCATGCCAGGAAACGAAGGACCAACACTCTGACTCTGCGATGGTAAGGGAGTCACAAATCTCTTGCTGAGTTGCGTTAATTTTTCAGGATTAACATGTTTTAAAGCTTTCAAGAAATTCAAGCTCTCGTCATCCACTACATCATCCTACAATTCATAATAATACGATTGCTTCGTTATTGAGAATATTCTTTTTATAGCGATATAACAAAGCATGTTAATAGTTTTGAGCTTACCTGATGTCTATTCTGTATACACGATATTAACAATTGCGATTTAAATAACCTAGCAATGTGATAATAATTAGTACAGTCATTGTGCATCGTCAACATGCTTCTTATCTTGCCACCCAGTGCAATTTGGAACACCCATCCTGGCACCAAATGATTTTCCTCCCAAATTCTAAGAATATCGTAAAAAGCGTCTCTTTGCTTCTTAAAAGTATGGAACGAAATGGCAGATGAGAAATTCTCGCGATTGTCAGTGTCAATTTGAAAAGACACGTTTATCTCCCCCATGGTACACGTCAATTTTTGCGGGCTATAAATAGTAATAAGTATTTAAATATTATATTAAGTAACGAAAAATCATGAAAAAATAATTCATACAAGTAATTCGCGTTAAATTATAACCTCTTTGCTGATCGAGTATCTCGTTCCTTTTAATTAAACATTTTAACATATTTATTTTTTCAGGCCACAATTTTGAAGGTTAAATTTTCGGAACATTTGGAGAAATTCGGAAGAGTATTATCGAGGAGCACGAGATTTTAATTAGACAAAGGTTATACAATCAATGTTATTGTACAATCTTCAATCGCAAAGTGCACATTTTTCAATGTAGAGATCGTATTTTCAAACATATGGATACGTATCACCGCATTCTAATCTATCTCGCTTTATAAGCTTTGTAACCGTAACCGGGTCGGTCAAATTAGGTTAGGTTAATTAACAGACAACCATGGCTTTTTGATAGAAGAATGTGCCTGCATTTTAGATGCCACTACTGAACTCCAATAGCGCCTCCACTTGCACAAAATCCGAACTACATAGAATATTTCCAGCGGATAACACATATTTTTGATTCTGTTCCGTGCTAAGTACGTTCACCTACTCTACAATTGCGTGAAGTGCTCTGACGATTGGAGGAATTGTTACGAGGCATCGCTTTTACTATCGATATCCGCTCGGACAGGCAGATCAGTATATCGATATTCCCGTGTGTCGTTATTCCCGAAAATCCCGAGGGAGAAGAAAGAGAAGAGGAGTGAATAGTCGATGACGCTGATGACGCTGTGTCGTGAATCGTGCGAACGCAAAATATAACCTCTCCGGCGCATAAGATGCGCCAGCTTTTGTCAGTCCAGTCAGAGTCAGAGACACCACTATTTCGAGAAACCTGATCTCGCTGCGTGCCCCACACGCGTTTGTGCGTCCCACGATCAAACAATTCCGTCTCCGCGTCGTTGACGTGAGTACGGCATGGCTGTCGCGCCGCTCCCTTGTTTTTTCGCGAAAGCATCCGCGACTTCCTCTCGTGATCTGAATTCCATCGCAGACCAATACTAAAAATCGGAGTCAAGCTAACGATTGTCATTATCTTAAATGAATTCACGTGCTCGAACGTCCGTTAAAGTAAAAAATTAAGGTTATAGTCCGCTCGAACGAGCATCCTTCTGACGTCAACAATTTTTTTTTTCTCCAAACATCTCAAGAATGTTTTCGTAGAAATTACTTTCATGTCGTTATGTCGCGTCGTATGATTTTAGATATTGCCGTCAGAAACAGTGTTGGAGTTAAAGCACAAAGTGAGCGATCTCTTGGGCATCGATGTACCACAGCAAAGATTATTACTCACTGGCAAGACTTTAGCGGGTAAGAATACTCGATCTCAGAAGCTTTTCATTTAGAGGCACAAATATTCTTTATTTGTTGCTCATGAAAAATTAAAAAAGATAGAATGACGTTTATATCGACTCGTGTCACTAAATGGAAAGCATTCCTCATCTAGCATTGTATATCGTAATGATTTTTTGTTACAAATATTTTGTTTATTATCTTCAGATGAAAATCCGCTAAGTTTTTATCCGGGAATCAAAGATGGCAGTAAGTTAAATCTTTTGGTGATCAAGAAGGCAGAGGAAGGCTCCAGCGAGGCGAGATCTTTGCCCCAACAGAAAGCCGGTATCCATCTGCTAAGAGAAGAGGTCTCACGGGTGCTTAGGCATTATTATACAGTATCCGAGACAGAGTCCATAGTCAATGAGCTGATAAAGGACTTGAAAAATAAAGTGAATAATCTTAGTTACGATGATCTAGAGAGACTAGCCACTGCGTTACTCCAGGACCAAGAGAACGTAGCTTAAGGATCACTCAAGATTATCCAATTTTCGCTTACCAATTGATTATTGTAATACGAGTTTATTTAATTGAAGCATTGCCTTATATTATATATCGAATCCTTTAATAATTGGTATTGTGTATTTAAAGCGCGATCATACTGACTAAGCAAGACTTGAAACTTAATGTACTATTTACTACGTTTGGAATCTAAGGATAATCTTATGTGAAGTTTATTAAAAATCGCTGTATGTACACAGACATATATCATGTCGCGTCATAAATAATTATATGCACAATAGGAAATTGTCAAGGATCTGCCAAGTCTAATTGACGAAAATATCTCGCTACTAGACAGATGAACAAGTTCAGCGCTCCCAATTCCTGCGCATCCAATTCTCTCTAAAAAAAAAAACACAAAAAAGAAATAGCGAGATTTTAAAGACAACGTTAGTAAATTCTGACGTGAACTTTTGTAGATATTAACAAGACCACGAGTTAGTTTAGGCATAGAAGAAAAGTTCAGTCTCTTATTTTCTCAATCTTTTGTAACCCGACAAACGCGAGTTTTTATTATCACCTTTTTCTAATATCGGGAATGACATAGCAACAGTAAGTAGAGGAAACAGGAAGTTATATGCAATAAAAATGTTTTGTTAATAGAAATTCGGCGTTTTCTTTTTGTCCCTTCTTTTCTCCGTATTATTTTGTAGCGATAGATCACCCGCTAACAATAAATTCTAACTGAACTTTTCTTTGTAAAATTTATAAATTGATGCTTTAGAACCAATATATTTGACCTAAAGAACCAATATGTTCTGTTATGTTATCATTTGCTATTCTTAGAAAAGAAACATTGACTCGTACTTTTTCTATGCCTTCAGGATCAAATATAACTATATATAAATCTTATATTTTTAGATAATAAATTTTTTTATATTAAATAAATGACATAATTAGCGTTAAGAAAAAAATATTTGATTTTTTTATTTGCTTAAAAGGCATATCTTTCACATCTTATCGAGATATTCAATCTTGAAATTTTTACACAATTGCTCTTTTTGTGAGAAATGAATATTGTATGAATTGAAAAGCAATCAAGTTAAACTTGTTGATCCTTTTCTCTTTTCGTTTTCTGAGGTATAGAACAATATTGGTTGATTTAGGCTGGGTTCAGGCAGACGCTATTAACACTATTTGTGTCACTCTATTTTCATCGTCCATTAAACGTGAAACAAGGATAGTATGACATAAATAGCGTTGATGATTAATTGCAATATGTTATGATATTGAATTAGCTTGATCAAATAATGAACATTACAGTATCGGCACGAATGACGGAACATGCTCGAGCCAATGAGCGCAGGCAGGAACAAGTATCAGGCTGCAATGGTTGCTCCAAAATCACAAGTAACGTATAGATCCACTGGCCTATTTTATATTCAACTTTTCTTTCAGTTTCCACGAATTGCACCAGATATTCTAGTACCTGTTCTACATCAGACTGACTAAAGCAAAACAGAGTATTCAGTGTTGGTTCAATTTTTTCTTCACCACCTAAACAGAAACTGATCCAAGCATTCTGATCATCTATGTCTGGCTGTAATATCGAAGAAAAATTAATATAACTCATAATTTTCTCAAATTTTAGATAAGTATTTTATAAGACTTGTATATACCAAATGAATGTCAGGTGGTTTCCATTTGCGCTTGCCTATTAATATCTCATCTTTCAATTGGCTGATATACAGTCTTAACTTGGAAAAGTCTGCAACCTGATATTGTTGCCATTCCACGGTTGGCTTGAGATTTACTGGTGCTTGAACGCATCCTGCTAACTTTTATAGTCATATTCATTCCATGATTGCGAAATTTATGACACGATTTACAGAAATTAACTTACAGTCTCCACATACGCTTTTGTAGGCTCCTTCACACATGAGGGATCTAAATTAGCCACCACTACATCCGCACATTGTCTGGCTTCTATTCTGCAATAAAACAGAACAGATATGCAGGTGCTTTAAATTGAAAAATTTAAGAAAATGAAAAAAAAAGAGTAGCTGAAAAAAAATGCCAACTTACACTACTCGTTTGATGTACTCTTCCCCGGAAGAAGGTGGCAATGACAGATTAATATCTTCGTTTATTTCTCCCACCACAAATGCCGGTTTTTTTAAGTAATCCATCATAATTCGGATAATTATTCAGTTTAATTAATCAACTTAAAAAAATTGAAGAAATTACATTTAGTCTACGCATTTTTGTCTGAAACGAAGAAATATGACCGAAAAGAGTGTCGCTCTTCCTCGTGGACCGAAATATTAATCGTAGAAGATAGTAGAAATTTTAAGTTTGTCATTAAGGTTAAGAAATCTGTTATATCGTCAATATAACAAACTGCGCATGCGTTAGGGGTACTACATAGCTATGCACTGACGATAAAATCGCAGTGTTGAAAATAAATGTGGTGCGAGTCCATGCTAAATCACGATGTTGAAAATATATACATTAAAAAAAAATATATATATATATATATGCGAGTTTGCGAAGTTTCGTCACAATATTTCATTTCTAAATTTTAATAATATAGTGCCACTTCAAACGACAAAAGGTCCTTGAATATAGATCAACAAGATAAAAATCGCTATTGTTTTAATGTTCTTTCTATTCCTCTTCTTTCGCTTATTCTTTATTAATTAATTTTATTTTATTCAACGCATACATTAAAAAATAACAATACAGTAAATCAACTAATTATAATTCAAAATATATATACTGATTATTTTCAGCCGATATAAAAGATCAATTATAACTAAAATGCAAAGCGTCTTCGATACGTTGCGGCGAAAAATATTATTATATACATTTCACTACGTGAAGTTATACAGTAAAATTTATTACAATTGTGAAACGATTAATATAAAAAAATGCAATAAGTTATATACGACTCTTACGATATTAATTAAACATTAATAAATGAAAAATGGAACACAAGAGTAAAGCACGGTAACTAATGCGCGAATATATCTATTATTAAATGATTTATGTTTCTATTTCTAATTAATTAATTGGTTACAATTTTAATTGTGCATCTATTATCACTCTGCATTTATATTTGCCATTTGTCCTTTCTAATATAAAAAGATACGCTTCGTACATTAATAACTCTTATAGCAATATTAAATCGCGTTAATTTAAGCAACAATTTTAAGATGAAGCACACTGTATTCTTTCAACGTCGCCGCATTCGGATAAATTATCCTCGATAAACTCCGCCGTGGAGCTACTGAAACTATTCTCATCATCGGTATGGATGTCGTTGATATCATCTTCGTCTAGATTTGAATTTGATTCGTAATGTAATTCGTCCTCATAAAACTAGAAGAAACATGATAGTATGTTAGAAAAAACATGATAGTGTGTGTATAGTCAATTTCACCCCCCCCCCCCCCTCTTCTCTCTTTCCTTTTCCTCCCCGCCACTCTCTCTCTCTCTCTCTCTCTCCCTTCCCCCCTCTCTCCCTTCCCCCCTCTCTCTTTTTCTCTCTCTATGACAGATAATTGTCTCCGTAGAGCCCAGTCAAATAATTAGAGGAAGAAATTATTATTTTCCTCCTTATTTCTCGCGTGGAACTTAATATATTGTTGTGGAAAAAAAGGAAACGTATGAATTACGCATTCGATGCGATTAGTCTACTGCGTTCCACTATACTGCTTTTATCAAGAATGTGATATCAAAAATAGTGCTTAAATGACACATCCTTAAGATAACAAGAAAAATAGAAGAGATTATATAAAGAAATAATTTTTACATACGTTTCCAAATGACCGCAATATTACCGAAAGTTTTCCTTTCGAAGGCACCCATAGTTTAACATTGTTATCACGTCCGCTTGTCGCAAGAATGGGAATATGCGGATGACCCTCCAAGTAATTTACCTATAAATTAAATTTTAAAAAGTCGCTATTTTTTCGTTCATACTAAAAAATAAGAAAAATTTATTTACATTAAATTTATGAAATAGAAAAACTTACGGATTCTCTATCTCCTGTCATATATTGTATGATAGATTCCGAATTTTTTTCCCAAATAAATATATTATTATTGGATCCAGCTACAACATATTCGCTTTTAGGTCCGAAAAAATTACCTATAAATACTGTAATCAACCAACAAAAAGAGTAATGAATTAAATATTAATTAAATATTAACAAAATGAGTAATTAATTAAATATTAATAAATCGGAATTATTTAAAGCATCGCTTCTCTCAATTATAACAAATTCTAAAAGAGACATTTCTATAAAAAGATTTTTTAAAAGAAATCTCTTATTAGCAACACACATGGAAATTAATTACAATAGAAAGTGTATTACCGAATGTTTTTGTATATTATATCACAGTTTTTCTCTCTTTAAACGTGCATAAAGAAAAACGTTTAAGAATTAAAAAGATTTATAGTGATCGTGAATAAAAAATAATATAATTGTAAAATAATGTTATTGCATTTTATGTATAACCTACTCGATGATCTATACATATTCTGATACATATGACCGTAATCTCCACCTGATGACGTTATTAATCTATTAAATAGAAATAAATTCTTATTATTATATGAAGCAAGAATTTCTGTTCCGTTATAATTATACATAGCAGACATTACATGTACATCATTTTGATTATTTCCCTAAAACATTTATATTATATATATAAGTAAACAAACATATGTAATAACAAATTGCTTTCATTATAAACTTTTTTAGTAAAAGACTTAATATAAAACGTACTATATAATTAGGCCATAATTTACAAAGCGGTTTTGAAACTTTTCGCCGATCGTATATCATGACACAGTAGGACTGACCAGCGATGCAAAATTCATTACTATTTGAAGGATTAGAATCTATACTGTATAATACTGTTTTTAACGAATTTTCCTCTATTAAAAGTAACCTATGAACAAAAAAAATTATATATGTTATAGAGGATTTATTATAAAAGAGTATTATAATAAGGAAAAATATTATATAACTGGAACCCAAGATATATATATATATATATATATATATATATATTAATTGAGCCTACCAATTGTAACTTTATCAATTCAGCAGTTATTGAAATCAAATAATCTTGAGTATCAATCATAATTGAAATGATATAAAAAATTAATACAGTAGATATACACTCTAAGATGTAAATATAAAGCACATACAAAAATATAAATACAATATATATTTGAACTTTTTAATTGCGATTATTCACTCTTTTGGTTTGCTTTCCCGGATATCTATGGATAACACTTTTGAGTTAATTCCAGCTGCAAGGATTACATAAGGTGTTTCAGGATGCACAGCAAATTTATATAACCTTCCATCGTACGTCACCAATTTCTCCGACATGTTTCTTTCAAGATTCAACAAACATATCTGACCATCTTCACCACAAAAAACCATCAAATTATCCAACAGCAGCCATTTGGCCTAAACTCGTACAATTATAAATTAGGAAAATTAAGGCTACGTTCCAAAACGTCCTCCATCGAAAAAGATTTTACTCAACTATATATTTGCAGTATATGTTACGTAAATTATATGTATATTTCGAGTAAAATATTCCTCAGAGAGGACATTTTGAAATGTATCCTTGAAAAAGATTAATAAAAATGTTCTTTTAATATAATTACATCAAAATAACTATTATACAATACTTTAATCGCAAAATGCTATAATTAATTATAAATACATACATGTAATACATTATTATCATTTGTAAAGCTGCAGTTTTTTTTCCCTGTAACCCAATCCCAAATAGAAATCTCATCACAAATGGCACACATTATTAAATTTCCTTTGTGATTGAAATTTAAGATATCTATCGATTCAACATTCTATAAATAATAATCAAATGTCAATGTATACTATTAAATAATGAGAATAACTTAGTGATACTTTCAATACAATGTCTAAATCTGTGTAATTCAATGTACAACATTTACAAGGTGAATAATTTACCGATATGGCTGGATAAAGTTTATACATAAGTTGGAATTGCTCTACTGCATATAAAGAACTATAGAACCGTCTATCGAATAATGGATTGCTACCTATTTGGCGACTTATCACTTCCGGTACAATATGCCAATTAGGAAATTTTTTTTTTATTTCTTGGTAATCAGCTACTTTTTTATTGTTTTCATCTTCATCCTTATCTTCTTCTTCATCATCATCTTCTTCATTTTTCTCCCCTTCATCCTCATTAATAGCTTCCCATTCATCCCAGTTATCTGTGTTCAAAATTCAAACTTTTATATCTTACCAAATAATGCAAATATTTAAAAAAGTATTAGGTGTTGGAATTAATTCGTAGCGTTTTTTAAAAAAGAATGTTATTTATTTCACATGAGCATTAAAAAAATACATTAATGAAAGTACTTCCCATCACTTGTAAAACGCTACGAATTAATTCCAACACCTAATATAAAAATACCTTCATGTATATATGGATTAGATTGGTAATTATTAGCAGTTTCTGATCCTGTTCCTAAATTTGTATTCGATGATTCGTTCTTAGGTGACTCATTTATCAAATAATAATTTTGCTGCTCCGCTATTAATGTGTTTCTTTGAAATGTCACTGTATTATCATTTAAGTTTCCTTCACTGGTATTGCACACATTTTCATTTAATTTTTGTCGCTTACTCAAAACTTCATCCGAACTATCCGATTTTTCTATTAATGTGTCGCTATTGATTTGTACTTGACATTTCGAGCTTCTTTTGATTTTATTCCGATCTGTGTGCAATATGTTTGCTTCGTTAGTACAAGAAAGAAATGAACTATTATCTTGTGAGGTAGTAGCTTGTGATAAATCAACCAAATTTAAACTGATAGAATAGAATTTTTCTTTTAGCATATAGTTAGTTTTGTCACATTTATTAGTTGTTATCTTAATCTCTGCAGAAAGTTCTACAGGTTCATTTGCTTGCTCATTTTGAACAGTTTCGCATGCAATATGGTTATTAAATTCGACTATATGACTTGTTTTGTTTAAAGTGGCATTGCTCTCAGATGTAACATCATAATTATTTACATTTTTCGAGTTATGTGAATCTGTTAAAGAACTTGACTGCACCTTCCTAAATTCCTCGCTATCAGAATTTTCTGTATTAGAAAATGTTTCTACTTCAAAAAAATTATTGGTATCATCCGGTACTTTACTTTCAAAATTCATTTTATTCTAAAGATCTTTGTTTATCCAAACTATCAACAATTCTTTCAAAATACACAATTTGTATCAGAAACTTAACTATGGTTTCCTAAAAATAGATTAATTCACAATAAATAATAAACTTTTATATTACATATTATATTATATATATATATAAATTAAAGTATTAATAAAACATGCATATATTTGAGTAAATTATAAAAAAATCTAGAAAAATGATTCTTGATTATCTAAAATCAAATATCTATACCTTTTGTTTTTTATTAGAAATATATTAATAATGAAAAATGTATCCTTAGCACAGTTTTGTCATTTTCTTATAATTATACAAATTAGTGCAAATAAGTTAGGTGAAATATAGAACTAATTTATTTCAATGAACTCAACAAATTGAGATCGTTTATTGAAAAGCTTTATTTCGCTACTTTGACATTCCTGAAAGACAACAAAACATTTTTATTATCATAACTTTACAAAGTCAAAAACTGAATTTAACATAAACTGTTTATTCTTTCGAGACCCTTTCTTATGAATTTCTACATCATCTTTTATATTTCAAGAAGATAAAACATTTTTATTATTATAATTAAAAAAAAAAAACAAAACTAAAAATACAATTAATGTGAAGCTACAAATACTTTGAAGCATTCGATTCATTCTTCGATTAGACAGTTAGCAAAATTTGAATGGAAATGGAATGTAGGATTAGGAGAAGAGTATATCCGAACAATTCTTGTTGACAAGATACTCACTTTGGGACTTCCCCTATATAGCCATACTCCATTTTTACAAAAGCACAATTCACAATTCTTCTGTTGTGTCAGATTCGACACGAGAGTTTAGTAAAAGGAATGATGATAATTAATGGCTGCGTTCAGCAGAACGTTTAATTTACAAGTTGAAAATTTTCTTAGCGCTGATTGGATCATATTCATCTAAAAGAGTGTTTCGTCGAAGGTCCTTCTTCTTCTTCTTTTTCCTTTGATTGGCGCTGGTCTTCGCCGTTGAGATAAAAAGAATGGCGCGAAAACAAAGTATGCGACAGAACTATACATTTTTATACTCTACAAGTCCAAAGATCTACAATAGGTGTTTTAAGTCTTAAGAAACTGACCAATTACAGCTGAATGCGAGAAGAGTAATTATGATTCGTTCATTTCTTATGGCTTAAAGCTTAAAAAATATTGTAGATTTATTGTAGATTTAGGCTTTAATTCTGCATTCTAACAAAGCTATTAAATTGCAGACGGAAGTTAATTGCTAATCGATAACTTGTTATTTTTGCAAAGAAACATGTACGAAAAATTAGGGAAGTACTATAGTATATGTAACGTTTCTTTTCAAGAATAGAAGCTTGTTGAATCTTGAAACGAGGTTCAAGTAAAAATCACAAAATGTATAAATATTTACTAATTTATTTATAATTTCGTAGGTCAACTAGTTTCTAGTAATTTGACCATTTTTATAATTTTCACGTTTCCTGATGCAGATTGAGGAGACTTCGATCAACTCGGATTAACTTCAATCGCTGATTAGTCCATTGGAATTGACCAATCGCATTTGTCAACAACAGATTCCACGGACTAACGTCGATTAAAGTTAATCGGAGTTGGTCGAAGTGATCCTGATATTGGTGTTTAATGAAAAGAAAAGAAAATCAATATTAATTTTAGTAAACTTTGCTTTGATCGATCAAATTCCAATGCAATCTCAATCTCCTGGGTTTTCTACAATATGCGTATTATGTATGAAATAGAACGCATCTTATTTAGGACATGCGCATCGCGCAATAATAAAGCAATTGTATCGGCAGCCGTTAACAAATTTCTTTGTATATATATATATATATCATTAAGATTCTTCGTGAAATAGAAACAGAAAATAATAGGAAACTTATTAATAAAAGTAAGGAAAGGTAAAAATTTGATTTTATATTATTAGTAATAAGATTAATTATATTATATGATAAAATTATTTGAATCTGTAGACTCGTATTAAATTTAATTAAATTTAAAATTAAATTAAAAATTTCATAAATAAAATTATAGTCTATAGCTTTATCTTATATATTTGGTAGAATTCGGTTTTATTTATGAAATAAATACTCTACACTTTATATATGTATGTTAACTAAAAATAATTCTTATATCCTTTTTAACAGAAAAATCTAGAAATTATATGTATGTAGTACTATATAACATTATACACATTAATATAGCATTTAATATATTCTAAATATGTGCATTTATCAATAAAAGTAATGTAAATACGGATTATAATTTATATAGGTCCCAAGAATCATTAGAATGTCACGTGGTCAATGACATACTTACGCATGCGTATAACGCTCTATTTCCCTCGGATACTCCGCTTTTCCAACACTGCGCCGCAGTCGCTCCGAGTCGTTCCAAGCTTCGAGTTGACTGTAGCGTTGTGTACGTCCGTTCGGTCGGATTTCTCACTCCGCGTCCTCGGTTTCGAGGAACTCTATCACCAACCGATAAACCATTATCGCGGTTGACGCGCGTCGGACCGTCAACTCACATCGCATTCTCTCGCCAGCGTCCGCAGTGTGAAAAACTACGAAAATGACGGTAATCACGAAAGCGATCACCGAGAAGAAGGCGTCCGACAAAATGGAGCAGCCATTGTTTGTGGAGGAAAACGCGGCGGTTAGTATATATGTACACACCTCGCTCGCAATGCCCGATCGCGTCACTCGGATCGTTAATTTCCTTCGACACCTCAGGACCCCGTCGCGATCGGAGAACATCGCTATTTTTATAACTGATCGCGTTAGGGTCGCGTTGTGCGCAGCGTAGCCACTTAACGCAACCCTTGGCACACACACATATGATGTATACGTATCACATATATCTGGTAATAATTCTTGTCGAATATATATATATATATATATATGTACATATTCAACAAATTGTCAATTTATGTGCCAAAGTACATTATATCTGTGTATACTTGTTTCTATGCTATCAACAGGGAATGCTTGGGTTCGATAGTGTTGATATGTATTGTACACACACATGCCAGTGTGTGTCCACCAACGAGAGAGCCAGGCCAAGTAAATTAATGAACAAAATATACATTATATATTGTAACATGACAGATGCAGTACATGCATCTCAATAAAGATGATGTATGACATATTAAATGACAGGGAAATGAGGCATTTAAGGAAAGATTAAAAAAAAATGAAACCCTTTTTAGCTTTTATTGATTTTAAACCACTTGATTGTTTTTCATTATATATCTTGTCAAGTAGTATGGAAATGGAGTTTTAAAGTTAATCCTTAAAATTGTTAAATTTTTGTTATACATTTTTTAGATGTAGTTTTTACAAGTTAAATTGAATTTTGAGGAATAATTAAATAATTGTGTTATGTTATTCAAATAATTGCTTGTTTATAATATTTTCCGGTATTTTCTTTACTGGTATTTTCTTTAGAGATTTCAAAGATTAAATACAGGTATTCTTTAACAGGATGGTACAAAAGCTGATCCTGAAGCAGGACGTTCAAAAACAGATGCGGTCCCCAGAAGCCGTTGCTTCATATCTAGAACAAGCATTCACCGTATACATATGGCGACAACATTTTTGCTCTTTCTTCTTGCACTATCGATACTGCTTATCGGCATGATCGGTGGGCTATATATCTACAAACAATATGCCAGGACTCAGATGCGCAGATTCAGTACTGGCTGGTACAGCATTCCATATGACAGCTCAAACAAAGCATCCTATGGCAATAATGCAGTTCATCAGGGACTTTTGGCTGATTCTGATCTGTTTACCAAGAGTCTCACCAGAGCCATGGAACAGGACGCTCTAGATATTGCAAGGCACATAGATCATGATATTAATAATTTCTTTAAGGAGAGATTTGAGATTGATCTTGAGAATGAGCATTATGAGAAGATTGACGTGCCTGATTTTCGCGGTGGACGACAAGGTCGTTTCATACATGATTTCAACATTGTGAGTCGATGACTGAAATTTATAATCGGTTCTTATCTTTAAAAAACATTAAATAGTCTTAAGATGTCATAAATTAATTATAAAGCATCATAAGATATCATTTAAGATGGTTTTAAAATAAAAACTACTATGAATATCGACCAATATTGTATTTCTAAATCACAACAAAACGATTTTTTGCATCGCACGGGACATATTTCTTACGATACCATGTTTATTTACAGAATAAGACAGGTATTATAGATATTGACGGTCAGTGTTGCTTTGTCATGCCACTGAATCGCCAGCGCGTATTGCCACCTCGTAACATGTATGATCTCCTTAGAAAAATGTACAATGGTAAGTATGTGATTTAAATTGAATTAATTAATTTTAATTATAATTTATTTATTAAATTATGACGCACTTGTAATTCTTGTATATCAGGTTACTATGAAGTGAACACTGCAGTCGTACGAGAAACTATGAAAGTAGTCACGCCGCCAATTACTGATATGTCGATCGTTGGAACATACATAGCGCGTGAATGCCAGGACTTGCCTACTTATATGCTGCAGAAAGTGAATTCTTCTAGTAGTTAGTTATCAAATTTCAAGTTATACCCATACAACCTTGGTGAAAATTTTTCTAAGAATTTTATATATACATATTTTTCAGGATTTTTTGTAAATTTCAGAATTTTTCCGAATTTCTAAATAATTTTACAATTTCTAAAAAAATTTCAAATTTTTTATATAAACTGAAACACTTTTCAAAAGTGTCGAAAAAGTCTACATCTTTCCTAAAATTCTTTATATGTGAATTCTAAAATATCCTAAAATTTCTATAATTTTTTTGTTGTATATGTTCTGATGAAATTTTATAAAATTTGTAAAAATTTAAAGTATTCTTTCAGAAATAGAATGAAAAATCTTATGAATAATTTTTATATTATAATAAAAAAAATATTGATTTTTTCCAGTATTTCTAAAAAGTGTTCTAATTTGTATAAAAATGTTAAGAAAAATTTCTTCCAGGGAAGATAAAATCTCTCTCATATAATTATTGTGTTTTCAAATATTTCAGTTGTAAAACGCAGCGCATCACAGAGCGGAGTATTCGGACAGTTTGCCGGTAATAATATCGTGGAAGTCGATATTGTGAATTTAGAAGACTTCGAATGAAACTATGAGAAATCGAGAAGTGGGAATTTTCAATTATTCTAGAATATTAAAACCACCAGTAGATCAATGTATAAAAATTATAAGCTGTCCAGGGCAAGCTTAGGTAAATATTCCGTCGAATTTAGAATTATTATTTTGCATTTTATTTGTGCATCAATTAATTTCTCATCTTTGGCATTTTTCTAAACTATATTTCAAATATATATTCCTATATTTATCGAGATCTTCATTGTAAGTCTTTCCATTTCTATTAGTTATTCCATTTTCTATTAATTTTAAATGATAACTTTACATCTGTTTTTTCAGTTGAATTTCTTACGGTTCACCTTTTCTCTCCACGTTGCAGAAAAAAGAGAAATGATGAACCGTACAAGAAGTTCAGCTAAAAAGAACAGAGCTATTATATAATGCTAATACACAATTTGTTATTATCGATCTGTAGTATATAATACATCATGAGAAACTATATCATGAGAGGTTAAATGTGAACGACTGAATTACTATTAAAAAAATGCAAGAAGTTTTAGCAGGATGGTATATTGTCTGCTGGATCATAGGAAAATTAATATTTCTTCCATATTCTTGTGGTATGATATTCGATTTAAACAGATAGCAAGTGCAGTGTTACGCCATAGTAGTAAAACGTTTATTATTATGGATTCTGGCACATAGCTTGTTGACTATATTTATGAATGTCTGCGTTAAAAAAACGATAAAACCAGTAGAATAGCCGTGCACTAAGTGGTTGCGCTTACGATGCAGTTTTACGATACGTTATCATTAGTAAAACTATAGATATATTCATTTGTGAATTCTATTTAGAAAATCTATCGCGTTATGGATAATGCTTGTGTAAACACAGTAAGCTCGAGGTATAAAAACACGAATTATTAATATTGCGAAACTGAAAATAATTTTTAAAATGTGTTTCGAGAAATATATTGAGTTTGCAATTGTGATTAATATGTAAAACAGGTTAAACATTCATAAGATTACTGCGACTATATAAATATTTTTACAATTTCAATTGAGAAAAAAAACAGAAGTTACAGAGTATCAATTCAAGAGAAAAAGTCTTGATATTTGACATTCCATGTAAGACATGCTTATCTCTTCTGCATTTCTAATCGTGTTACATACTTCAATAAGTATTAGTAATACAGTATCGTATTTTAAATACGTTTTATGTATACCAGTTCATTGCCAATTTATCACGAAAACTGGAACTGAGAACCAGAAACTGGAATAAATAAGAATCGTGATTGAATGCAATTTTGCCATTAGTTTATTTCCGTGCATTGTCATGCACATACAAAGAGAAATTATTTTTAGTTTTTTTAAACATTTTATTATATATTCGCGCGTACAGCATTTAGTGTCGGCAAACGTATCCAGGTACTCGGACGTTCATTAGTCTTAGATAGCTGCGTGCTATAGATATTCTAATATTATTTCAATTCAGGATATTTTGTAATGAAAATATGCAATTAATAAATGACCTAAGATTTTAGTAGCATATCAGAAAGAAAAAAAATTCTAGAATCTGTTTCGTATGATAGAATATATTTATTGCAAAATGATTTTATATAAATTATTGAAATAAATATTAAATGTAATATGTAATTAAAAATATTGTGTTTCATTTCAAATAGAAAATTCAGATTAGAAGAATTGATCTTTTTAAATTTATATAAAAAAAACCATTTTGTAAACAAATTAAGGGAATATGTATGTATTAATGTCTGCACAGATATCATATTATAGACCGGGTGCCTGAACACTTATAATAATTCTGTATTAGTTATGTACTGTTACTTGTATTATCAACTCCAATAAACAAACACGCAAATATATAAGTATGCGGTGCGTAAACACCGTTTTAAATGTCCGTAGACACGTAGATTAAACACTGGTGGCAATAAATAGCGTATTAGTTAGTTCCACCACTTTTCGAGTGGGGATGGAAATGCAGAATATCTTGTTAATATCAATTAGCTTTTGTTTAATTCCACGATGACGCGTAATTTTGTCATTTAAACTTTATTATAGAATTATTACATGATTCTCTGTCACGTTTCGTGTGATTGTAGTTAAGTTCCTATAGTCACTATTTCTATCTCCATAAGTTTTGACAAGTTTCCTTAGCTTTATGGCGTTATAAAAAAACCAAATTTATAAAACTGTACGCGAATAATTGTAAAGTCTGACAAGAAAATAAATGATACATATAAATGTCAATATTAGTGCGTATCAAATATCTTATTGATTTTTTAATCAAAGTTTTATTAAAGCCAAAGATCTACAAAAGAATTTTATTATCTTAATTTTTAAACTTATTACTAAATTTTTTGTTTTTTATTTATATATTTATATTATTCAAATTATTGATATATATATATATATATATATATATATATATATATATATACATACATATATATATTATACAATTATATATATATTTTTCGTATTTTTCGCATGCAGGATATATTTTCATATGCATTTGTATATCAAAAAATGCTAATCTAAATCTTTAAATCTTTTAAATCTTAAATTATGTCATATTTGTATGTGTCAAGTCAGCTATGGCTTTCTGTCTAAGAGTGTAAAGTTTTTTCACCCATTTATCGAATCTTGCTTCTTGATCCATCATAATCTGAGAAGAAAGAACAAATGGTATGTATGAGTACATCAGGAAATGCAAAAATAACTAAAACTTACTGATGTATGAAATATGCTTTCCGGGCCACTGGCAACATTAGATACTAGTGGAACTTGTATAGTATCTGAAGTAATGTCTATTACAATATTTTTAAATTTACTCTCCTTGGTAGCAGATGAAGTGAACTGCTTAGGAATGAAACCTTCAGCGTTTATTTCTTCAAGTACACTATCTTTGAAACGTGGCTCAATGGGAAAATCATCTGAAAAGCAATACATTTTGCATCTTTTAATATGAAATATTATTAAAATATTTAAATGTAATATTCATAAAAGCCAATGCGTTTCTACCTTTTGTTGTTAAGACTTGACTTTTCTCTGTATTAATTTTCGGTTGATTCGATTGTGAACTGCTGGAAGGACTTCGTGATTTTTCTCTGGATGTAGATCTAGCCTTTCTTCTTGTACGATCCGAAGAGTATGATCTACCTATGCTAGAACGGTAACGTCTTTTATCTCGGTCTCTTGAGTGACTGCTTCTGGATCCTTTATGGTTCTTTGAATTTCGGTCTCTTCCTCTACTTCTCGAGTGTGATCGATGTTTACGTTTTGTTTTAGAATGTTTTGAGGATCTCCTTCGATGTGGCGAGGATTCACTGCTGTCTGAGCTGCTAGATCTGCAAAAATTATTGTAATATTGAATATTCTGCTTATGAATAATAAGATTGTCAATAAAATCCATTTCTATCAATATAAATATTTACTTTAATTTAAACATGTTCTAGTAGAAATATAATGTTAATATTTATTTAATAAATAAAACAAATTAAAACTAAATTGCATAATAAAAATTAATAAACTTAAAATTAAATATAATGTACATGAAATATAATGTGAGCGATACAAATTGAAAATTGTAACTCCTAACCTTTAAATTAATAATAGAATCAGATATTACTCTCGTGTTTTTTACCTTGATTTTCGATTTCGTTTCCTTCGGTATCTGCTACTATGGTCCGAGTCCGAGTCACTAGAATATCTCGCCATGTCTGTCAAAACAATATTTCTACTTGCATCTAGGAGTCTAACGATCTGAACAATCTACTATACTAGAACGGAGCCATTGGCCGGAAATGCACTGCAATGCACTGATAGTACTGAAAATCTATAGCAAACGTGACGTGAACTATACATGTTCAATACCGTGTCACTTGACATTTTAGAACATTCTAACGAAGTGTATGTATTTCTGGCACGGTATCTAACAGTAAGCAGTATCGATCAGTAATACTGTACAGAACAACAGAACTGGAATTTGTGAATGAACTTCGCGAGGTTTGTGTATCCGGGTGTTCCGGGTTTCCGCACTCCCCGCCTTGCGGAGATCACGGACGTGAATCCGCCAACAAACGGGGTATTCAGGATGGTATATTCGATGATGATCAACGACAAGATACCACTTGCTATGTACAGATCCCTGAAAACCGGCCTGACAATTTGTATCGCGGACGTAAGTGATCCGATTGTCAGCTGCCACTTCGCTATCGGTAATTTTTGAACGTGTTAATAGAGGATATAATATTACATGGAGTTCTCCCTTTCACTTTGACTCTTAGGTAGCTAACAATAAGTCTGTCGAGAATAAATTCTGCTCGACAATAGACTACAAAATATTTGCTACATGTATGTACATGCAATGCTGTTGATAGAATGCTGGCAGAGGTATAGCAAAGTTTATCAAAATTAGCACAGTGTCATCAGTAAGCTTGTGTTCTAATGGCAGAACTATGTTGACATAACATGACAGATTGGGTGTGTAAAGTTGGCACCCTTATGCTTCGAAATTGTAATTCTAAAAAAATTCTTTCGGAATTAATTTAATTCTAGATATCTGTATCTTTTCTTAACAAATCAAACAAAGTGTTAATTCCTATTTATCTCAATGAAAAGATTATTGAAATAAAAGTTAGAAAACATCAAAGTATTTTTAATCATCTTTATATTTATATCAATTCTTTTTTTCAGCTACCGAAGTGTTCACGGATGATGGTCTTCCTGAAGCAGTGTCACATCTTGTATTGATGGGTAGCGAAGACTATCCTTATAAAAATCTTTTGACTCGCTGGTCTCACAGATGCTACTCACTTGACGCCGAGATTCATACGTTTCAGGATTACACTTGTTACAGTATGAGAACAAGTGAGACAAAAGGATTTTTCTCCTTACTGCCTGTATATCTCGATCATATTCTTTATCCCACACTTTCGGTAAAAAAATTTTAATATTATTTTTATAAGTTGCCTTTGTTATCTAATGCAAAATATTTTGTTTTTATGAAACATTTTATTCAATAGATTTTATTTAATAGATAAAAGAGACATGAGTTATTCCATGTAGGATATTCATTACATTCTGAATATTCTGATAAGTTATTAACATATCTAAAATATTAATATATAGATAATTATATATACTGTCAAAAAATTATATGAAAAAATGTTTAAAATTTTTATATTTTAATAGGAAGCAGCGTATATTATAAACGTACATCATATTACTAAATATGGAGACAATGGAGGTACATTTTATTTCGACACAAGGACTAAAGAATTGGATGGAGAATATGTAACTTACACTGAATTAATGAAAGCGATGTATCCTGAAAATTGTGGATATAGCTCAATTGTTCAAGGTATAAAAAATGTTTAATTCTCTTGTCAATACACGAATTTCTCCCCTTCGTTCAATACCTGGGGTACCCGAGTACCCACTATGCAATCGCTAGTGGGTAGTATAGAACTATCTGCGTCCTCCCCCTTGCTCTCAACAGCTGTAAGCTGGCGAGTGGACAGTTTTTCTTCTTCTTCCAGACCCCTGTATAGATTTCCGACCTTTTGATTTTCTCCTTCTAACATTTTCTACAAAGAATTCCTTTCGGGCAACCCAGAGAGAATCAAGAGAGAGTGGAACGGATAGCATTCTCTTCTCTAATTGATTCCACCATTTATCCATTCACTTCCGGAAATATGCATGTGTGCATGTACGTATGTTCCATCACGCTTCTACTATAAATTTGTTCGCGTCGCATACTCCAACATGCTCCAATATATTCCTGTTATAATTCCTACTTTCCAATGCACTCATTAGAGTGAGTAGGAACTATGGCAGGAGCATGTTCGAGCATGTGGAGTATGTGACGCGAACAAATCTTATATCTCGTACCAATCGCCAACGAACGTCGTTTCTTGCGCCAACTCAGCGAAGAATTATGCATGCCTTTAATCGAAGATCGATTGGTAAATCCTCAGATAATGAGACATTTCTCGACGAAGAATGCTATTGAAAGCATATTCGGTAGACCAGTAAATGTTATCAGTAGTATTTTATTATCAGGATCGTCTGTGCAAAAATACGATTCGACGGGACGAAAAATTATCGTGGGCTTATGCCATATTTGCAAGAAAGATGTGCTCAAAAAGCATCAAAAAACGCGAAAAACATGTGATAAATGTAGAAAATCCGTATGTAATGTACGCGGTAATGATAACACTGTATGGAATGTACTGGATGTATTGAATAAAAATTTGGAATTTTTTTATTTTTTAATTGTTTATGTATTTACTACTCATTATTGACATTTTTTTATTATTTCCTACATTCACGAAATGTTTCAATACGCAATAGCAAAAACGAAAAGAGAATTCGTGTGAAATGCTCGGTATTGAACAACCTTGGATATTAAAAAAACAAACATGTTGTCAACTTTGACCTTAGATAATAAGCATAATTTTTATAAAAAATTATAGCTCAAAGCATAAATCGATGTGAAATGATCCAAATTACGAGAATTTGACCGGGCTAAGATCAGTATTTTATTGGTAAAAATTTTTAATGTGTATACGAAAATGAGTATTGACGAGAGGGTTTCGAATTATCCTACTCTAAGAATCGTCTACAATGGAGGTAATAAGTCGTAAGACATAAGAAATTGATTGTTCGAATAAGAGAAGAATAATCGACTATATAATTTGTCAATTAATTCTTATAGCTTATAGCTTATTACTTTCATTGCAATGGGTTTGCAAGTATTATTTATCATTGTACACTTACAGGTACATCGAATTACATATCGGAATATCTTGTTCTTGAAGATATCAGACAGTACCATGAAGAATATTATAGACCAGAAAACTTAACTGTGTTAATAGTAGGTCAAGTAGATCATACTAAAATTTTAGACACGTTACTACCTTTAGAAGAGAAAATAATATCAAAAGTAAGTTAATCTAAAAATTTTTTATTTTAATTTAAATATTATTAATTAGGATTAAATTATTAATTTTTGAAATTAAAGAAATAAACATATCAGGAATAAACAAAAAATATTGTGAATTATTACTTTGTTAAAAATTATATTGTATATTAATATTAAATTAGAACTCTGTGATTATAACTCTGTAATATATTATATATAATATATTTATATATAAATACATATATTACTTTGACATTGTAATCTTTATTTTGCGATAATCTTGATTTTAATCTCAAAATTATAGGGAGACAGAGGCGAATTTAAAAGACCCTGGCAAACTCCAATTAAACCGCTTACAAAAAGCATAGATGTGGAATTCCAATATCCGTGCTACTCGTGTACTGGGGCTTATATTCGTATAGCCTGGCAAGGACCGTCCATTAATAAATTGTATGATTATTTTGGTTTTTGCTTAATCTCGCAATATTTGACTGACACAACCGAAGGTGTATTACAGAAAGAATTTGCCAAGGAACAGATATCCTATGAATATTACTTCCATGAATTCTCGACTTCAGCTTTAAGTTTAATGTTTCCGAATGTGCCGGGTAGTAAAGTTCCTCTAGTCAAGGAGTCTGTGATGAAAGTACTTAAAAATACAACTGACGTTGGTATACAATTAAAAAGAATGAAGATTATAATTCGTAGATATATTACTAAAATTTTAAATGATCTGGAAAATAATCCACATAATACAATTGCAAATGGACTGTTTAAACATATGTTATATGGAAAAGCACTCAAAGAAGTATGTTACACATATGATTTATTTATAAATTGCGTTTTCAGAAATATTGATTGCATCATTTTCATTAACAGCTGAATCATAGGTTGAACATTATACATTATCTCAAAATATTAGAAAATGAATCTAAAAGTTACTGGTTCAACCTTTACAAGAAATATTTTGTTGAGACTCCAATGGTTGTTGTGAAAGGCACACCCAGCCGTGAAATGTTAAAGATATTTTCGGGAGAGGAAAGAAAAAGAAAAATTGATCGGATGCGCGAATTCGGCATGCTTGGATTAGCGAGAAACGATATACTTCTTTCCCAAGCCATAAGTGAAAATGTATGTAAATGTTTTAATTAAAAATAAGATAGATATTTGTGTAATTAAAGTAGTTTATATCCAAAGTTTACTGCTGGCAATCTTCTTGCTATTGATGATGTTTTTTTTTCTTAAGTCACATATACCCGACGAAGTGTTAGAAAGTATACCTGTACCTGATATAGATTCCATTGTCTTCCGTCACATTGAAAATTACAGTACGGATTCTTCAGAGCAGCATCCTGAATTAGATGCCAAATTATTACCATTATTTACCTATCTAGAGAACGCCGATACGATCTTCATTTATGTAAGTATCTTATTCTCTTATTGTGTAATTTTATTGAAAATTAATTCATAGAAATATTTTTTGTCTATTTACAAAAGTTTTAGGACATTATATATTCATATTAAGCGTAATCGTACACCGATTATTAAATATGATATAATTAACTGTAGTCTTTATTTAAATCTAGACATTTATCGTCATGGACACTACTTCCATTAATAAAGTATACAAAAAATATATTCCACTATTGCTAGAACTCATTATGGAATCTCCGGTGAAAAGAGATGATCAATTGATTCCTTATGAGGAAGTAATAGATGAATTAAAAGCAGATACTGCACTAGCTACTACTCGAATTAGTGTTCAAAAGCCCATGGCATTCTCATACAAATCCTCTAGTGTTTATTTGATGCTTCAAGTATGTATCCATTATGTGTGTAACACAATTTATTATAATTTCTTCTTTTGTAAGAGTAATTAGAGCTATTAGAAACGATTTGTAACTGTTCTAACATATCTTTGTATGAAAATATTTTCATATAGTTTGAATACGAGAAGTATGAAAAAGGTGTAAAGTGGATTAAAGAGCTTTTATATGACACTGTGTTAACAATCGACAGATTAAAAGAAGTAGCAACAAAGAAATTAAATGATATTGCTCAATCGAAGACAGAAGGAGAAAGAGTTGCGAATGATTTAATGAAAATAGCACTGTACAATGAAGGTAAAATCTCATTTAAAAAAATTTTTTTTAATCAATAATTTCATACCGTGGGAATAGAAACAGTATGATATACTAAATAAAAAAATATATTTATAATATGAATTTTTTCAAATATTTGTAGACAGCAATCCTTACATGTTCAGTTTATTGCAACAAGAAGAGTTTCTTACTGACATTCTGAAACGTCTGGATAATGATGTAGATCAAAAGGAAATCATGGCAAATATCGAATCAAGCAGAAAAGTCTTAACGGTACCAGAAAATATGGTTTTATATATGACTGTTAACATCATGAGATTAATACGTACAGTTCCAAATGTGTATAGCCCATGGAAAACGTTCTTTCCCGATGTAACAGTTGCAGAAGGGAAGACTAACAATAAGTAAATACAGTTAGCATATTTAATGAAATATATGTATATGTGTTAGGATAATAATTTAGTAAAAAGCAAAGTGAATCATTAATCAGTAACGGTTTTAAAAACGTATACAGCATTGAATTATAACGAAGACTTTTTCTTTTCATGAAATATATATAATAATAAATTTAAAATATCTTTTTAGAGATGATCTCTTTCTCAATAAACAGTTTTTTATAACAAGTTTTTTGAACAGTAATTTATTTAGTTTGTATATATTTAACTGTATTCATAATATGAATTTAATTGCTGCACAACTTGGTTTTAAGATAGAAATCATTGAAAATTATGCAATATATTAATGGTAATATATTTTTAGGGTGAACATGACTAATGATTGGACACTATTGACTTCCACGAATGATGTTGCTATCAGCAGATGTATTGTTGGATTGGAAAACGAAACAAATGCATTCTTCCTACGAGCTCATCCGTGCATAAATGATTATCGGAGCCCCGATCTGCCGGCTTTGCTCGTTTGTTTGATGTATCTTGATCAAATGGATGTAAGCGTTATGATAGTTGTCAAAAATGAAAACGCAAATTGGTATTATCATTTCAAATGTATAAGACAAGAACCCTTATTGTTATTTCAGGGACCCTTATCGTTATTAATTCGACATTCTGAACGTGCGCGCGATTACGAATTTTTTGTATCACTACACGAAGGGCTTTTGTACTTAGCGATTAATGATGCTACAGATCTGATAGGCGCGTACGCTAAAGCTAAAAAGAATACGGTATGAACATTAATAGATTATTCATATAAGAAATAAACATGTAAACATTGCATAAAACACTTAACATGTTATAATCATAAAAGAAAGTAAAAGTACATATAAGAGTGAGAGAGAGAGAGAGAGAGAGAGAGAGAGAGAGAGAGAGAGAGAATCTCTTGCATCTCACGAATTTCTTATTGTAGGAAAATCGTATGTCTGGGCAATGGACCGACATCTTTTGCGAATCAGCCAAATCACTTACAATCTTTCAGCTTATGAGAATGAAGAATGCCATAGGCAATAGAGCGAATGAATCATTAAGATGTTGTCGCGGTTTGCCGCTTGATTACTGTGTTCCACTAATGCGAGATATTCCCGCCGTTACCAAGGAAGATATGAGCCGCGTAACAGTTAAATATATCACACCATTATTCGATCCGGAAGCATGTAAGACTATCATTGTGTGTCATAAATCTGGAATCTCAGCAATAACGGAAGCTTTTAAAGGGTAAGTGAAATTATTGTGACGTCTTTCTCTTCTTCTAGTCTTAGATAACAAGTATACATAATTCTTTTTTTTACAGAATACATCATAATTTTAATACATACAACAATTTTAAAGAAGCTTATTTAATATTATCTAAAAAAAACGTAAAAACAAATGAAGCAATAATAAAGATATAACGAATTAACAATCAAAATCTTGAAAAATATACAAGATTGTCCAAAAATAATTTACGCTCTTTTTCAATTAATTTGAGAAAGTTATGTGATACGAATTTGATGTGAAAATACATTAATGATTTCATATTTAATATAAATGTTTAATACCATATAGAAATATTAACATTATATGTAAATAATATTAATATTGTTATTTATTATTTTAATGTTTCATTCAATTTGCTTTCACGTACAGACAACGAGATATTCGAAAAATACAAAAATTTACATTTTTAAATATAAATAATTAAAATTTAAATTTCATAATTTAAATTTTGTTAAAAATTTCGAAAATCTATATAAAAAACGATTATTTTTAATATAGAATATCCAATACATATGTCTGTCATTTATAGCATGGATGTAAACGTTTGATGTGTACATAAATAAAAATTCTTCGGAGAGAACGTTTCGTTTTTTTCTTTTACGATTAGAAGATCAGAATGATTATTAAGAGGAAACTGCTACCGTTTCTATCTCTAACGCGGACACGCCATGTTGCTCGATAGGCAGATAAACGCCTCCGTAAATTTGAAATTCGAACATTGTAATATTTGTTATATCTAGAGGCTCACCGTTCAGAATCTCAACTCCACGATAATAAGGTTTGAAGCCTTTCAAAGGTAAAGTCACCGTGGTAAATACGTCGTCCGATATTAATACCTGAAGCGAAAATTTTTGTAGAATTTTACCAAAAGAAGACTTTCCAATACAATATTTCAATATTAATAGAAAATTCAAATCAAAGATTGATATATGAAATGGAATCGATAATACGAAATAATAACGATAAATTGAAGATAAAACCGAAATTCTTAAGCTTTACCGTGAAGAATTGTTCGTAGCTGAAATACATATTGGAATTCTGTCCTCGATGTCTCAGGGATATCTTGTAGTGATTATTTTGCCCTTGTCCTCGGCAAATGATCTCAATATTTCTGTATCCTGACAGATTCAAATTTGTCAGTTTTCTGACGCCGGCGAAACCGGCATCATTTGGTTGCGGTTTCAGCAGCGTGAAGAAGACTGCTCTTTGAAAGAGCTGGCTCATTTGTAGAGTTAAGATAGCTTTGGATTTTCCTTCTGTCCTTACAGTGTCGGACATCTCCCGCCAATCATCCACACTTTGAATATCCGTGAAATCGAACAGCATCATTTTATCCCTAATTAAATTCAAATGATGCATAGATTTATGCTTTATACCGTTGGATAAATTCAATTTTTAAAAGTATTATACAATTGTGCATCCATTCCAGTCGGAAAAGTCTATTTTAAACAGTCTATAATTTGCAAAAAAAAATAGAACTCTGTTCACAATTTTATATGCCTTTATAAGAGCGACTCGGACTAAAAATTACGATTATTAATTGAATTGGCGTTAAACTCAACCAACAGATGTTTATTTTTATCAATATTGTCACAAGAGGAAAGACTATCTAGTCATACTTATCGCTTATTTGCTACAATAATGACGTAACTTAAAAGTTGTTATTTTTAAGTTTATTGTAGAAAAAGAATGAAAACATAAAAAAAGAATTTGTATTCTTCTACAATTGAGTATTATATAAAAATTACATTTTAAAATTAATCTAAAAGATTTTAATAATTTATAATTATTATAATGATTTATATATTTAAATTAATTTTTTATAGAAAATTTTTGTTTTCTGAGCTGTGTCATTAATAGTAAATGAACGATAATATCTATGTAGAATTGTAGAAACGAGCCTGTAATCGATTAATAAAACAAAATCTCTAATATATACAATTCATTGTTCTTCATCTTTTTCCAATACATTATACATATAATTCTATTAATTATAATTTAATTGGAGTTTGATCGAAGTCGCTCTTATCATAAATTAAAACACTTGAAAAATTAAAATACATGCATTCAAATACAGACAAGATGCATATAAAATTATGAATAGAATTGCATTCTGAAGTCCGATATGAATTATAGATTATCTAGGCGTGTAATAATTAGACAAGAAGTGAAATACATTTTAAAGTGAATCTGTCGTTTTTGTTTGTAGTGGAGGTTAATTCACAAAGAAAGTCGTTTGCTCTCTTTGTGATTTTTCTCGATATCTACGGTAATAGGAAAGCTTTTCTAGATCCGTAATCCTGTAAGCATAATTAATTTTCGAGTGTATCATGCGAAATAATGATTATCACATCTCACCCTCTCGCAAAATGACAAGTCACGATAAAAACGGCGATCGTTCGTAAATTCATATTTCAAGTTATATTATTTTCAACGAAGATGACATGAGTTTATAAGACGAATATAACCGAGTCAGTCACTCTTTAGTGACACGGACAATAGATGCTGACATTTCATTGACATGCGACATGATCACGTTTGATTGCTTTTGATCACGTTGCTTGAAAGTTATCAGGACTTGTATTGACTTGCTTATGCGCCCTCGACATTTGCGATAAAAATAGCCATTACTTGGCAAGACATTATATAATGATAAAAAATGTTTTGGTGATAAATAATGACAAACAAGGTTAAAACGAAAAAAAGTATATATATTTTTAAAGTATACATAATTTTATTATTATTAATTATCTTTTACATATAAAATTATTTTTAACTTTTTGTGGCTGTGAATGACGTAAATTCATTATCTTTAAAAATTGAAGGAAATCATAATTATCATTCTTAAAAAATCGGACTTTGATAATGAAATTTATAATTATTTATTATTAATTTTGGCAAGCCAACTTAATCAATATTTAAATAAAAAGTTTTCAATTGTAATAAAGATTTTTAAGAGATCACATTATCCTATTCTTTGTAATTATACAAAAAATAAAATCCTATTATACAATTATATAATTAATTTTATGAATATAATATAGATAGAAGTAGAATATTGATTAATGAAACAGATTTCAAAAATTACATTGAAAATTTTAGTAAAAGTAGACAATAAAATATGTATGTGGAAAAAATTTGTATTCATTTCTTAGGAAAGCATTCATTAACAAAAACAAAGATTGGCGTTCTCTTTGTTGAAGAGTTCCACATACATGTAGAAGTATTTATTCCCTGACATTTTCTTATATTTGTATATACATATGTGTGTGTGTGTGTGTGTGTGTGTGTGTGTGTACAAAATATAAAAATATAACAATGATAAAAAAATGAATTTCTGATTTATTATCAAATAAGTATTCTACTGGATATACGATAAAAAGAATGAAATTTTAATCCTAAATTTATCTTAGATAAATTATCCTTCTAAAATATCTTAGATAATCTGATTGAGAGGGTGCATAATAAAACAAACACGTCCGTGTTTCAAAAAGATCAATAAAATTTTGGTCAAATTTATTCGACGCAATCTTTTGCATTTTCTTATATTATTGAATATAAATCGTGTTTACATGTTACATAACGTTGAAGAGAACGTAAATCATCGTGTTCGTTGCATGCTGCCTCTTATTTTATTTTCTTTTTTATTTCTTTATGGAGCTTCAGCCATATTAATATTACCTTTGTACTATCAAATCATAATAAGATAGAGCTTATGTAACTTTATTTATGTGTGAGAACACACAAATTAATTTATCAATGTTGAATTAGTTTATATGTTTATATGTGCTCTCAATATAATAGATAATGTGAAAAATAATTTGTTAATACTGTTTTCTAATATAAAGCATAGAAGCGTCATACATTAAGTTAGAGATTCGCTGAGTAGATAAAAAAAACATGAAAAAATGTGTGGTAATATTTCACGCTAAATTGTTTCATATAGTTTCAAATAACATATAGCTATATTTGCTAGTTTAAATTCTACAAATAAAAAATAGATTTTCGATTGATATCACAAACGAAAGACGAATAATTCCATCTTTAATTTGTCACTAAAGACAATATTTAAATTTACATATGTATGTATACATATTTATGTTTCATCAAGAATAGAGGTATCTTTTAAATATTAATTAAAAAAAAGTAACTTTTGATCCCTACTTTCTCTCCCCGTCTATAATTAATTTGTAAGATAACTGAAATCATTAAGCTCGCAATGTGTAAATGTGCATATCTTATCAAATAAAATAGGTTTAAAAAGTGAGATTAAGGAAAATCTGACCGTTCATAATTTAAGTTAATTTTCATTGAATAAATTCTTTTAAAGCAAGAATTTGCATGTTACAACGAATATGATCCTCCCTGCAGATATAAGTTAGTTGCAGATATAAATTATGTGAATGTAAATTCCATCACTTGTGTTCACTGTTAAGTCGTTCCAACAGAAATTTTCAATCGAACTTATGAGAGAAATTAATCGGCTTCTATATATAAGCTATTATATGTATATTCTATAAACGAATTCTTCCTTGATCCGATTTCACAAAAAATGCATGAAATATATAAAACGTTTACGTGAAAACAGTATATATAAATTCCAATAATCATACAAAAGCCATTTTATCGACAAATTACTGACTCTCCGCGCCTCATAGAAATCAGTAGCATTACCAGAATTATTTTTATAACATCTCTACATTGTGTCACGTACTTATAACATTGTATTGAATATCATAAATTGACGCTAATTAAAAAAAAGAACATTTTAATTATATTTCATTCTTTTTTTTAAGTGGACTTCGCTTATCAAAGGGAGGATACAAGCTACAAGACAATCTGTCAACTACACTTAGTACAAATCATATATGCATTAATAGTACCGATCAATTAATATATCTATATACAAACAAATAATAAGACCTAACAGGAGCAGGAATCTTTTCCTCCCTGCTGTTCATTAGATACTCCTTGGAGGCTGGTGCGACCTGGTTGACTCGGATTATGTTGTACACCAGATTCTGCTGCGTTTAGGTCCAATCTATACCGACAGAAAATATAATTAATTTAATTCCAATTAATATTATTCGGGACATGTATTAATTCACAATTTATATTTTACAACGTATGATAGTTTTATTCAACGTAACATAGTATTTATTATTTAAGTGATTATAAATGATTTCAAACTCACCGCCCGTCTTGTATACTTTGGAATATTTTCTTTGCCGTTTCCAAGAAGGCTTCTTCCACATTGTGTCCCCTGTTTGAGAAATTTGAATACACGAATCCATTTACAATCATTTGAAAATTTTTATTTAAATATTTTAAGAGAACTCGTACTAGAGAACTATACTAGAGAACTCACGTTTTTGCGCTAGCTTCGACAAACATTAAACCATGTTCATCAGCAAATTGCTTTGCTTCTTCATAGGTAACATCACGTTGACCTTCGAGATCACTTTTATTACCAATTAAGAATATGACCTGCACAATAATTAGTTTATTTTTGTTATATGGTTATAAAACGTATTAAAAAATTAATTTTGTTATATCATGTACAGAGGATAAATCAGTTTAATTAAACACTTATAATCACATTGTGATATGTAATATAGCAATATGCGTACAGTGCTCGGATTTGTTAAATTCCTTGTGTCTGTCAGCCAGCTACTCAGATGATTGTAAGTTGAACGACGTGTAATATCGTATACCATTAATGCTCCAGCTGCACCACGATAATATGATCTAAAAAATATTTTTTTCTTTTTAGTACACATTTATAATTTTATATATATTAGATACAATTATCTAAATTATCGTCTAAAAAACAATCATCATTACCTAGTAACTGCTCTGAATCGTTCTTGCCCAGCAGTGTCCCATATCTGCAGTTTTATCTTCTGTCCTGCTACTTCTATAATCCTAGTCCCAAATTCGACGCCAATGGTATGTGGACAATCTGCCATGACTAAATTTACAAAATCATTTATACAAAAATGTATATTTTTTAACATTTTTATATAAATACTAAATATAAGGTATAACACGTCAAGGAATAATCTTATTTTTTGGAATAAATTAAAAAAAATCATATTTTAAATGGAAAATAAAATTAAAAAATAGTATTAGATTGTGTACAACTTAATTATCAACGAATTGTATCCTTATTTAAACAGAAAAATTAAATACATAATTCTTTTTAAAAACGAAGAAATTAATATTTATATCTATTATAATATATAGTTTTTTCATTTAATAATTTTTCTTTAAAATAGATACTCTTTTTTTATCGTAGGTATACTAAGACAAAAGTCAATACACTGTTGCAATTATAAATGTTGTCTGTCATGCACAACATTACATGTATATACAGCGTAATGGCGCTGCCAAACGTAAGCGTTACAGTACAATTATGTATGCATATGATTATAGCACATCCTTTAAGAATGTCACAACAAATAATGATAAATCCAAATTAATTCAGCAAAAACAATTTTTCCTTACTTTACATAAAATATATACGTTTCTTTAATTATTTCCTTTATTACTTACATTTTTTTTCTGTAAACTGATGAAGCAGGCATGACTTGCCCACTCCCATATCTCCTATGATAATGTACTTAAAGATATAAGAATAATTATATGGACCGGTCGACATTTTGCACCTGCAATAAAGATTTCAAGAAAATAGTACTATATTTTTTGCAGCTGTCTATTATTATTATAAATTATTATATAATTATTCCGCAAGAGATAAAATTAAAGTTCATAATCTACCATGAAAGTTCTTTAAATAATGTTTCTTTGTAAACTTATTGTTGAGAGATATCTATAAGATCGATTCTGGTAATCTCACATTTCATAAAATATCCCACGATCTTGTGTTTTCATTTTGATTGATAAAGAAATGTAAGATTATATCTATTTATTTTTTTAAAATAAATTATACAGTTTTACTGAAATTATTGTGTATTATTTGAATTTTAATATATTATTCAAGAAATTGATTTATTAATTTATTATTACATATAAATAAATATAATGTTGCATTTTTTTATTAAAATTAACATTCCCAATATATATATATATAATACACACACACACACACACACACACACACAAAATGCTCTTTAAGAGATCATCTCTTTTAATAATACAACTATATAAAATTCTTTAAATTAAAAAAATAATATTTATTTGATAGTGAATGACACACAGAAATGTTGTTTACGAATTGAGACATTAATAATTCATGAGTAGCCTGATAAAAATTATCCTCGTCAAAACTGACATTCGCAAATCGGGCGACATTGAATTACTCGGCTCTCGAGACAGATTGCATTGAATTTGACGAGGAGACAAGAAACATACATTCATCGAAGGAACAGCTTTCTTGAACTCCGCGGACGCGGATCCGTCGAGGCAACAACGTCAACAATACACCCGCACCGCCCACTCCCATAATTACGTTACGCCTAATTAACGCGATCTTTGCGATCGGCGAAGATATGTAAGAAAGTCTATGAGAGACAGACGTAACACGGACCTGTTGTGTTCTTGAATAGTGAATCTTGAATATTCACCGAACTGATAACTAGCGTTAGGAGATAGAAGTCTCCGATGTCAACAAAGCGCAGAGAATTACTCACACGCTCGTGAAACGGCGCCGTGTAGTGGAAGGCTGCTTGTCGTGATCGTTGGGCCGTGACCAAAGGGTGTGAACAGGGAACGTGCGGATGACGGTCGTTGCTCTTCAAACGCAAAATTATTTTGTCATCGAGTCACACAACGACTAACGACGGAGAGAAACGCTCGCCTCGAAATATCACGCGCAATATGGCAGGCCGCGCTTGTCGCTAGCGACGATGGCGACGAGCGAAACGTCAAACCACCTGTCACTCGCTTCAAGTCCGTTCGTCCGTCCGTCCATCAATCTGCTGCAGCGCTGCGGTCTCATCGTTCGATTCAGTCGGTCGATTGATCGATTTTCGACTCGCGCCAATTTCGCTCACTGCCAACTTCTCGCAGCTCATAGACATCATAAGTCATAAATCTGATTCGTCGAAAGAATGGTCTAGTCACATCAGAGAGAAACCAGAAAAAGGTTTTCTTTCTGTTACCGTCGAAATCATCCGTACACTATCGCCAATACAGACATTTTTAATTTAGGAACTACGTGACTATGTATTGTACATTTTCTGATACTATCGATAAAATTGTATCATCGAAAGTAGATGTGGTTCGTCTCTGTACTAAATCCTCAGGACAGAAGCGTGCTAATTATTCATAGGAGGAATAGTTTAATAGATCTTTGAAAACAGAAAAATTTTAATTTCGCAACTCCTACATACATATGTAAATAAAAGTTATTGAATTTTAATAAACGAAATTGAAAATTCAAACAATTTAATTTAATGAATTTTGTCTTATAATCTCTCTCTCTCTCTCTCTCTCTCTCTCTCTCTCTTTCTCTCTCTTATAAAATTACGAAGTTATATTTTTTTATGCAAATTTTTAGCTCGTTTGTACCAAACATAATTACTAGTATCTATATATATTGGGTCATCTAAAAAGTATCCGCGGTTTTTAGATGACCCAATACATATATATTCTCTAAAAAAGATCTTAGTTTATTAAAAATAAATTTATATAAAATTTTAATGTATTATTTAAATTACTTAAAAATTTTATACACATTTATTTTTGCTAAAATCTTCTTTAAAAAATATATATATGTATAATTATTTTAGAGCCAAGACATGGAGAAAACCCGCGAAGCACAGATTAGCTATAAAAGAATATATAATTATTTTATAGAATATAAAATTATTTAAGTTATTTTATTTAACAATGATTTAAAAATAATCATTTTTTTTACCTAATTCTCAAAAAAATTAAAAGAATTATTTAGTATTTATTATTTTAAATAACTACACTTCTGACTTATTTCTTATTTAATATTTTAAATAAATTTCTGGAATTATTTTATATTTTTTAATTCAAATAATTCGTGTATGTTATTTTATCGAGCTATGATCGGCATCATATGTAAGTTTAAAGAATTTCTGAAACACAGAATAATTTGCAATAATAATAATTGAAAAATTAAATAATGATTAGATAAGATATTTAGTACTTTTAGCCAAAGCTGATGCAGCACAAATTGTTTCACAATATTAAGAAAATTTGCATGTATTTTTATATAAAGAACATACATATGTATATAAAATATTTTATCAATGTTTATTTAAGTACGAATTAAAAAGAATAATAAAAATTGAGATATAATGTTGGAATATCAAAAATACCCCACACCAATAATTATTAATTATATTAGGTGTTGGAATTAATTCGTAGCGTTTTTAATGAAAGAAATGTTATTTATTTCACATGAGCATTAAAAAATACATTAATGAAAGTACTTCCCATCACTTGTAAAACGCTACGAATTAATTCCAACACCTAATATATATTTAAAAGAATTATGTAAGTAATATAGGATTGTGCCACAGATGTCACAAAGCAAAACGCGAAATGTATAGCGATTTGTTAAAATCGTGTAAAATACGAATAATTGAATAATCTGTGAATTTTTTTCAAAAGCAATAATTGGGTATTCGAACAACGCCCGACAAACAGCGAAGGGAGCATGTCACGTGGCGAACAGGGTGGGGGAACGTTCCGTGCGGCGCAGTGGTTAACTACGTCATCACTTCGGCATTCGCTCGGCGATCTCGGAGAGAGGTGAACGTGTTTTACGAGTCGTTTCGGGTGTCGCATTAATTAATGAAAATTAGATATCTACGAATGCGAATTACGTAAGGTTGCCTAAAACTAAGGAGTAAGGTTTTGTTGCATGGTGTTTGCTTTATTTCTTAGATTCATTACGCACATACACAGCTCGTGAATACAATTTAGATATTTCATGTGTTCTCACACATATACTACGGTATAAAAATGAGATTCTTATTGTTAGATATTTCAAATTGTGGCTTTTTATCACTTTGAATCGTATAATTTTATCATTTTCGTGTTACTCCGCATTCTTATGATACCGGAAAACTAAGATAAATTATATTTAAAATTATAAAATGAACGTCAAATATATTCCTCGGTGTATCATAAATCACATATATAATTATATCACATTAAACGACTCGCGTCGCTAAAACTAATTACATATAAGAAATTCTTTCATTAATCGGAGAACATTAAAAATGTAAAGAATATATTATTTTATTTATTCGTATTATTCGTTATATTATTTCGATAGTTAGACCGTTGGCGCACGACCTTGGGGTGGAAATAGCACGGGGTGGCACGGAGCAATGCGTCATGTTTACGTTTACGTGTAGTTACCGCGCAGTTATTCTATTACTGAGATTCGTACAAGTAGGTAGTCGTGTCGCGTGTAGCTCTTTTTCACATTACTTTTTGAAATCGCGAAGAATCGCAAATATAATACGAGACGTTGTACTTGTGATGAATGAACAATTAATCATACTAGTAATCGTATTATGTGAATATTTATAACATAAAATTCAATATTTCGTATTATATCTAGCATTTTTTGCGATTATTATATGTTTCAAAAAGAAATGTGAAGAAGAGCGGCACGCAATACGGCTACTTGTCCGTACGAATGTATATCATAAAAAAGCAACATTAATATGAATACTCTCATGCAAATAATGCAATTCCACAATTAATATAGTTTAATAATTTAATTAATTTTTTGTTTTTGTGCACTTTCGTTATATGATCCGTTTAAAAATTGAACGTAAATTTAGAACTTTATCGATAATAAAAGAAACATTTCTCTTTTTATTAATAAATCTAATCCATTTCATTGACTCTAATCATATCTTACAGACATCATTTATAAATAAAAGCATTTGTTTCGGGAGTGCCGTTCAAGTCATCGGATTCAAGTTATAGTCCGCGCGCGATTATAGTGCATTATTCGCGAGTATTTTACGCGAGTGTCAAGTGCGAGAGGATGTCAACCATATTCTGAGAGGAGGAGGATGTCTGAAAAAGACATCGGGTGGAGAAACCTTGCGGTAAATATTATTTTTTACTTATGTAAAAAATTAACCTTTTTTGCTTGTTTTTAAATCATATTATTTGACAATGATATAAAAATGATTGTTTTTAAATCGTTGTTAAATAAAATGATTTAAATAATTTTATATTCTCTAAACTAATTATATATATATTCTCTATCAAATAATTATACATATTTTTTAAAGAAGATCTTAGCAAAAGAAATGTATAAAATTTTTAAGTAATTTTAATAATATTTTAAAATTTTATACAAATTAATTTTTACTAAGATCTTCTTTAGAGAATATAGATACTAATAATTATGTTTGGTAAAAATGGGCTGAAAATTTGCATAAAGAAATTAGCATAACTTCTCTTAATTTTATAAAATATTATAAAACAAAATTCACTAAATTAACTTGTTTGAATTTTCAATTTTGTTTATTAAAATTCAACAACTTTTATTTACATATATATATGTAGGAGACGCGAAATTAAAATTCTTTTCATTCAAAGACCCATTAAATTATTTCTCCTATGAATAGCGACATGCTCCTGAGGATTTAGTACAGAGACGAACCACATCTACTTTCGATGTTATGATTTTATCGATAGTATTAGAAAATGTATGTAGTTACGTAGTTCCTAAATTGAAAATGACTGTATTGGCGGTAGTGTACGGATGATTTCGATCGTAACAGGAAGATGATCAGAATGACCTCTCTCAGGTTTCTCTCTGGATTGGCAGTCTCTAAGACCGGAATCAGATTCATTGAAGAATGAGATTGAAAGTTTGAAGTTTGATCAATCAGAATAAAAGCAGTCAAATTTTCTTTGTCCTCATTGGTGAAATTTCAATCTTTAATCTTTAATCTCAATCTTCAATGTATAGTTTGATTCCGACCTAAGCAATCTATTTATATAATAAAAAATAACGAGTTAGACCAAATTACATGCATTTTTTGTCGTACGACAAATTTTTCAAGTCTGTCGATTGGTTATAGGACAAAGAGGTCCGAGATCCTCTTTCTCTTGCAGTCAATCAACACGCTTGAAAAATTCATCGTACGACGCAAAAAATGGACGCATGTAATATTGGCCCCATTTTTTTTAGAAAAAGAACGGTAACTAATCATTTTTATGAGGTAACGCCTGAGATTAATCTAGATTAATAAAAATAAATGACAAGCCAATCAGGATTCAATGCCTCTCCTTTTCGCTCGTAATTTCATGTTACGTTTCTCGTCTAGTTATTTTCCGTGTTTATGAACAACATTTATGTCTAATTCACACTGGACGCAGCAAGCGTCAAGCAGCGGAGTAGCAACCAATCAGCAAGGCGATATTGTTTACGCTATTGTAAATATCGGCTTACTGATTGGTTGCTTCTCTGCTGCTTGATGCTTGCTGTGTCCAGTGTGAATTAAGCATTAATGGAATACTGCGTAGTCAGCGTCAGTCAGCGTAGTGTGCACTTTTGTGTTCATTCAGTTCACTGTAAATCCAAACGCGTAGGAACGAGTTTCACGTAAAATAGTATATATATTCAGAAAAAAAATAGAAAACAGGAAATCTTAAGATAATCGATATCACGACCGTGACAGACTGTTCGAATTATCACTGAAAGGGCATATAATAGTTGTTTTAGCTGCTCGGAATTCTCCGCCCTCTTTATCACTCTTCGCATATTGGTAAGATTCAATACATGGCGACAGCAATTGTGAAAATTTGTACGACGCATATGTCGAGCAAAATAAAACTTTTCTGAGTCACGTGTGATGGAATAGCATTCAGATTTATTCAGAACTTTTTTTCTTGTGAAATGCTGATTCGTAAGCATTTCGTCTAACGATTTGTCTCTTTATTCACTTAATTGTTGATTTGTGTTGTGTGTGAAAAGGGTATAGTATATATTTATTTGTAAAAATAAGAAGAGCTATGTGATTAGGTTTTTACTTTAATCCTGGTATAAATAATCCTGGTATAAATAATCCTGGGATAAATTTTTGGATTTATCAAATGACTTTGTTCACGTGGCAAACTATAAATATCAAAATGTATGATATTTTTTGATCTATAAACAAATGAATAATTATTTCTATAATCAATTATACAAAGCATGCAAAATTGTAGATAGTCTATTTGTGTATCGTATTATTGTTTCATATATTTTGACATTTTTAGTTTGTCATATATTTAGAGATGATGTTCCAAATTTTTAAAAATGAATTCAAAAGTCATTTAATGATTACAAAATTACGATCAAATTAACTATAAAGGCTAGCTTTTTACGTAGCTCTTCTTACTGTTCCAATAAGCGACAGTAAACTTATTGATGAAATGGAAGTTGAACGAACTCCATATTATAGTCATAATACATTCTAGTATGTTCTAGTACATTCTAGTATAGTATATGTTCTAGTATAGTCTATTCAATTTTTTTTAAATGCAATATTATTGATTTTTCTAGAAATCTCTGGATATTTTTCATTCTTATTGATCAATCAAAGTCTTTGATATGAGTATAGTACTATATATAAATAATAACTGAATATATATAAATAAAATGTATAATATATATAAATAATAACTGAATATATTTTTAATTTATATAATATTTTTTAATATATTCAGTTATTATTTTTTAGATTGTTTTAATAATTTTAATTTTGTGTAATATTGATCGATAAATATAATTGGCCTATTGATTTTGCAATAAGATTAAAGGCATTTGAATGATGTGACGATCCTTTTAAACTCTCTGGACCTTGTCTAATTATTAGGCATTAGTTGATACAACATTCAATTCATAAGTTGCATTGATAAGTTAAAATTTTAGTAGGTGCGCTCCAAATTGTACACCGGAATTAGCACACAGGAATAATTCTCATGTTATAATATCAGATTAGCAGTTGTGTAGAGAGGTCTAACACTATTTATTTAAATATGTGTTACACATATCCATCATCTATTACAGATTGTTTTAGCTGACTATTACAGATGCCATACATTCTAGTACGTGGCAACCTAGCATCGTACAGTCATAAATATCCCTGGAGGGTTTTAGTGTCAGGGCTTAAAGGTACGAAGACTCCTCTATATTTGCTTTTACGCAAATATATATGTTATTTTTTTTTCAAATTCTTCAATTAAATAAAATGCCCCACGATTCGTGAATTATGTTTGAAAATTCTATCTGACGTTTCTTTTGTAATCTTTCTACATACACGTAATAAAAATAACACACGTAATAACACAAGATAGTAAAATAACGTATTCTTAGGATAAATTGACACATCTTTGAAAATTAGAAGAGATAATGATGTGACTAGAAATATTACAGGTGTAATAAAGCAACAATTTTTAGGTACAAGTAATATTCAATTATGTTATAGCGGCTGACATAGAGCAATTGAGTCGGTTCTCCACTATAGGATATTGCGACGACTCGACGATAGTATATTTGCAACATCCTTGCATAATATTGACTGCTTTAGAGGTACTCGGTTACAAAGTCGTCGCATCATCCAGTACTAGCATTAAGCAGGATTATAATGAGTACATGTGGACTATGAGAAAAGAATTCTCAGAACCTGAACCCGATACTGTTGTAAAAAAAGCTGGTATGGCTCGAAATATATTGCTGCTTCAAAAGAGCACTTAACATTGCATAGATATTCATTAGGCACAACCATTCTAATGCTTTTAAGATAAAGCTCACCTACTTCATTATCTAATCTGATTTAACAATCTTAGCTTACTCTCGCAATGTAAACAAGTTGTTACAGCATGTGCATACATTAATATTAATTCAGGGACAGCATGTTGCACTGAAATTATCAGCATGCACGCATTGAATTATTATTGGTACTTTTGGGATAGATAATTACCATTAATTCCTCTGGAAAGTAAATACAGTGAAGAAGTTTAATAAAAAAATTAATTAAATACATTTCTACATAAATTATTATGTGAGAAAATATTCATTGATATAAGTATAAGTTGTCGATACAGAAGATAATGATACATATTTGGCGAGTTTAGTAAAAATGATATTGATATTCATATATATTTTTGTTTCTGTTAAGAATGAAAATAGAAAAAGAAATACGACAATACTATCTCAAAATTTTATTGGACTCTAACAAGCTTATGATATAAAATATCACTATGCTATCTTGTGTATATATTAAGTTATTACGGTGTTCAAATAGCTTACAAATATATTAGATACACGCACACGCACACACGCACGCGCACACACACACACACACACACACACACACACACACACACACACCCACACACAGAGGATGTCCTTTAATAACTGGAACAGCTTAAGGGGAGGAATTTCCTCTTATGGGCCACCCTGTATATGTGTGTGTGTGTGTGTGTGTGTGTGTGTGTGTGTGAATGTGAATGCCAGATATATTGCTCAGGGATGTTTGGATTAGACTCATATTTCATTATATATAATAATCTCGCAGAAATATTGTGAAAGTAAAATGAAAGAAATCCCATTTCATATATTCAGCAGACTGTCCAGTATATTTCCTTTGTGTCTAAAATCTCATAGTTATTTAAAATCTCATGGAAAAACCCTTTTTTGTTAATGAACAACTAAATTCGACAAATCATATGATTCAATATGTATATAAATAAATGAAGTGGGTGTATGAAATTGTGCATTTTAAAAAAGAGCACGAGAAACAGTTAATTGGATAAAACAAAAAATAGTGCCTTACATAATATAATTAAGATAAAACTATAACAATATTCTTGAGGCTTTCACGGAAAAATTATGCGTTTCACGGGTTTCCTCCATATCTAGATCCATTCTTGGAATACCATACACTAAATTATTTTTATATAATATTATTGAATTATTTTAAACAGTAGAAGAAAAAATTATAGTTTTTTATATAAAGATTATGCATTAATACCAATTTCGTGAACCTTGCAGTCCACTTCATCAGGCTGTTCCTCGCCCTGATGAAGTGGACTGCAAGGTTCACGAAATTGGTATTAATGCATAATCTTTATATAAAAAACTATAATTTTTTCTTCTACTGTTTAAAATAATTCAATAATATTATATAAAAATAATTTACATACAACGGTTTTTTATTTTTTTCTAATCTTTAATTCTCTAATCCTGGTAAATAATATTTTTTCTTGGGCTATTCTTGCACTATGTTTTGTATTTGCTATTTGATAATGCACATCTTCTATTTTCTGTTCGCTTTCTTCTTCCTAAATTGATTGCGAGCACATTCCCATTTTTATGTACATAAATACGAAAAAAACCCAAATATGTAGGTGGAATATGAAAGAGGAATGAAGAAGAAGGAAAGAATACAGAATCTGTATGATATATTCTTGGAAAAAAATATATTGGTGAAGAACGAAAATATTTTCTTGATTAGAATGATTTGTATATTTTTGACATTATATAATATTTATTAAAATGCTACATATGCATATAACGATAAATGATTATCGTTCTCTCTAAGAGCTCTATTACATTTGCACATGTACTTGTGTAGCAACTTGTTTTTTGCCATAGCAATTAATACCAAAATATATATTTATAGCTGAAGCATTTCATTTATGTTCCGATGCACATAAAATTCCGAATTAATTTTCAAAAAATGGAATTTTTTCCATCTCGTAATGTGATAAAAGTTCAGTGAATTTCTACTTTTAATGTATAAAACGAGAATTATATGGTGTGATGAAAAACATTTTATTATATTTAACAAAAATAAATAATTTTAATATTTTTAATAACTTTAAAATAATATTCAAAATATATACTTGAAGATAGTATTTTATGATACTTATATGCGACACGTTTATTATTAACTGCATACATTTATACCAAATATATTTTTATTTTAGAATTTTCAGATTTTTGCTAACAATGGCATACATTTGGTATTGTCTGATTACAAAAAACTTTAGCAATATTTTTTTACTCAGAATTTTATGCATTATTGGAAAATAGGTGAATTTGCATAGAAAATTCATCTTAACATTATCATTTGCGTATACATGTGTACATTTATAATGTTATTCTCTCAATAGAAAATATTTATCTACAAGAAATTATCTACAATATTTTAAACAATATACTCATAGAGATATTTAACAAGAGAAGTCAATAGGAAAAAATTGTAACTATGATTTGTTATCAAGTCTTTATTTCCTAAGTAACTACTTTGATAAAATCAAAGTACTACTCTGATAAATTTTGAGTAACTATTATGTTGTTATCTCTTCGTTATTTCTTCCAATATTTTCAATCCTCCTAATTATTTGTTTTCTATTGAAGATATGATATATCGCATTATCTATCTTTTATATCAGCTTCACCAAGTTTCATTCGATCGGAATGTGCTATTTATCGTGAAAGTGACTTTATGAATCACATTATATCTTCTAGGACAGACATTTTTTCTACAAGATAATTGTGCTCTTAAAATTGTGTTCTTTCAAGATGATTGTAAGATGTCAGAAAAGCAATTTGGAACTTTTTTATTAGCTAGGAAATACTTTAAATTTTTTATCTACAATGAACTTCATTTATTTCTTTATTGATGAAATTAATTCTGAAGCTATGCATACTTATTTTTAAAGTAACTTGAAAACCAGTCGCATTTTTATATCAGCAACAGGAACTCAAAGAAAAGTTCTCGTTATTCTTGTTGGTTATTGCGAAGGAAGAAAATATCACAGAAATTTTAATAAAGCTCGCGATCGCAGATGTTTTCTGAATTTTCTATTAAATATTGGATAAAGAAACTCGAAGGGATGATTCTTGCATCACTTTCGAGATAAATGGCTCCGATCGTCACTCACGTGCGTCACGTTTGCTTTTCTTCTAGAAGTAAAGCACAACGAGGTATAACGATACTTTTAGCGCGACAATGGCAACGACAACCAATTCCAAAAAGCAAGACACCACCGCCATCGACGAGGACGACGACATTTTCTATTACGTCGGTGTAAAAGCGTCACCGTTCGCGGCTGATAGCACGGTTTTCGGTTTACCACCGAAGGAGATATCGGCCTTACGCTGTCGCTTCCCGCTGGCCGCCTGTAGCACGAATGTTGTGAATGGAGTTATGTTTAAAGGTTAATAACGAGATTAAGAATTGTACGAACCATTTTCTAAGGTCTCGAAAAGATTCAAGATTTCTCGATTACGATGCAATTTTTATTATATTACGCGCAAACGTTAAATACTCTGCAAATACATGCAATACGTGCATGCCAGAGATAGTACTCAATATGATTATGAAATCTCTATTAATTGTATAGTATTACCTAGCAAAAGTAGCAAATGCAAGAAATTTAAATGATTTGTACAATTATCCGAGATTTTTTAAAATTATGTTCTTGTAAGAATACATGAAGTAAACGCATCATATAATTGCACGAAATTGTTAAGGAATGCCCTTAATTTTTCATATTTTCATATTTTATACTGATACAATCAGTAATTATAAAAATAATTTATAAAAAAAGAAATATCAATTATGAAAAATTGTCTAATAAAATATTAAAGTAAAATGATTGAAATTGCAAATGATTTAAGATTAGTTGGCTATCAGGTTGATATAATTAACAGTGTCAGCAAAAAAGCAGCTTTGCTAGTATAATATTTTAAGATTTTTTTAAATACGATTGGTTCTTATCTTTAGTTTCTCATTGGGTATAAATATATAAACCAATCGGGTTAAAGAATCTTATAACAATTGCAAAGCTTTTTCTGCTGACACCACTAGTAACCATTATTTTGTGCTGGTTAATTAAAAATAATAAATCAAAACAGATTATGTCGCGATTTTTCATATGTTTCATTTTATTTTCATTTTCTCAGTTCAAGAAAGCAGTTGAAGAGTTAATGTTTTCATGTAAATTAATAGTATTAACAATAATGCAATGTAACTTGTTAATAAAAGATACGATACTTGTAATTGAAATATACATTTTACAAACATTACATTCAACCTATATTTAATAAATATTATATTTGATTTGATGATATTTGTAGGAAAAATTCTTTTAAATACTTTTAAATAGATTTGTCATATTTGTATTAATGAGATTCTTGGATCTTTTATGGGGCTGATCCTTTGTCATAGCCACAAGTATTAATATTATCATTTTGTTGATTGTGACAAAATGATTTTATAGTTTTTAAAAGTTTAATTAATTTAATAGAGATATATGAAATTTTATTATTAAGATAAATATTACAATAATTTATAAAAGTTTTGAATAAAATCAGTCGTAATCTAATAGTAATAATATTAGCTTCTTTATAGGATATCCTTTAGGAACTTACGTTGCAAAATTGATTTCAGGCACACCATTCTCCGTCATAAATGCTCTAGCTGAACTCGGCTATCGAGTTGTTTGTAGTGCCGGAGAAGCCGAAATACTTTGGACACTGCAGCGGGATTGTTAACACTTTAAAAAAATGGGCCTTACTGCAAGCGCATTATATGTCTAAACATATATTCTCTTGTGACTTCTATATATACAATATGTATGTGTCTTTATGAATCAAACTTAGAAATTAGTATTAATGAATCGATGAGATTTGTAACTTCACTTTGTTCTTTTTTTTTGCATCTACTTTTATATCTTGGAATGATGAATGTTTGCGGAAATTATATTTGTAACTGCATCTTTGGGGAAGTTGAGTTAGATGTATATGTTTGCGGACCAATTAAAAAGGCTTTGTTTTAAAGATGTTTTAAAGATCAATTGTACCTTGCAAAATTGGATATTGGTATGTATCGGAAGTACTGAAATGCAGCTTTCCGTTAGAATAATAAAAAAATACGTTCCATCTTTCCCTTAAGAAACTTACACTTTAATTCTTGTGCGAAATCACACGAATGAATTTCCACGTTATCGGACGTGATATATTGTATACCGCGGCAGTGATGAGTTCCTTTTTTTACGACTTCGAAAATGACGCGGTAAAATTGTATAATCATGATAAGACTGTTTAGAGGGGAGGGAAGCATGATCACGGAGATTGTAAACCACGTAAACACTTCTGCAACGTGCAAAATAATCACGTTGCGGATAATAATAACTTACAAGCGGTTGCGGAAATTTCGTCAGACCAAAGGAGCATGTGCTAATTGCGTCATATCCACTATATGTAATACTGAAGTATTAATTATATACATTGATTTGTGATATCTTTACCTCGTTGCGTAGAAAATGGGTTTTTTAATGCTTTATCGAGGATTTATGACGTGAGCCTCGTAGGGTCCAGATTGGGCCAAATTGGCGCAACGTTTAGATTGCACCAAATTGGCTCATATTGGCTTTAAACTATTTTAGTGTTTATAATTGTGAAGAATGAAATTTTATTATAGTGCAAATACCATTTACATATTGTATCTTTATATAGCATATACTATTACCTAACAATATCTGTCTTTTCCCACCATTTGCTTTATTATATGATTTGTTATTGTATAATTATTATTATACAATAAACGCAAGATATTGTTCCTCCGGATCGATCGTGGTCCAGAGAGTTTAAGATTGTAAAACCATTTATAGAAAAAAAGTTGATGACATTTTGTTACTCTTATTGCAAATATAAATGTCCATTTAAAGATTTTATTGCAGATTATAAATGTTAATCTAAGAGATTATTGCAATCGATATTTCCTGTTCTTATTAAGAATGAAATCTATCGAATGAAATTATTAAAAGCAATCGTTAACTCGTAGTGTGACAATTATATGTATATTAGTTTATTCATAAGTAAGAAAATCAAAAGTTATCAAAGGTGGAGGGAACGAGAGTATTTATAGTTTACAGTCTGAATAGTTGGTACAAGCAGCGTTTGCGCTAATTCGTGAATTTTATATTTATGTATAGCTAATAATTTCTTTCATATGTGAAGCTGTATTTTATATGTACGGCAATTATACATAAGCTTATACTCAATGTATAATTGAACGTTGCTTGTTTGTGTTGCAAACTATGAGAAATAAATAAACATAGAAGTGAATCTGAATATCGTACAATTTATACACTTCGAAAAATTTTTACCTCTAACTCGAAGCGATATTTTCCTCTTCAGATGTATATACTTCAGTTAATCAAACTTTAATATAGGATTTTTTAACAGTCATTTGCAGATACAATAAACAATGGAGCATTCTTATGACCACAAAATGTGTTGCGAAGGGGCTGCGCGATATAATGTCTGTCAGAATATAGACGAACTTTATTTCGAACGCGGGCTTTGGACGGCAGGTAAATGAAAGTGATATTGTTGCTGATACAGATATTTATTTGAAATAAGGTAAACTGTAAACAATAAAGCATTTCAGAACACATTAATGAACAAGATCGCAAATGAATTGGATGATCATACGTTCAGATTTGACTGTGCGCTTCAGTCTTATAACGAATTCAGAATTCAATTGACTTTATTCTCATTATTTTGTATGTTTAAAAGGTGATTGCATAATATGCAAAATAGAAACCATATAATACAAGATAAAAATTGATTTCTGAATTATAAATAAAAAGCTATTAAAACCTTATGTAATTCGAAGTTAATATAAGTTAAGATTTATACTCAGTATCTATAGATTTTTAAAATGTGTTACTGAAAACAAAATTATTATTACAGTAATATTACAAAATTTATAAACAACGAAACGTATATTAAAATTTTATTTTTGCTTTTACATTGTAAAAGTAATCATTGCAATAAATATTAAAATTTTATTATTATAATTTATTATTATAATGATTATATTATTAGTACTTTGTGTTATTTTTGTATTGCTTATAATCTTTTTTTCACGATTTTTGATTCTGAGAATATGATTCATCAGGAATGTTGCAGTCTGACAATGAGAGAATCAGTTCTATACGAGTTTAGATTTCACATTTTCAGGAGGCTTCCTTGGCTTCTTTTTCTGCATTCTTGTACTGGTTTTTCATGCGTTTTTTTCAGCGCTGGATGGTGACGAGGATCGTGTTCTTAAGCTACTGCAGAAGGGTGTCTTCGTCGACACGCCGGACACGACTGCCGGCTACACAGCGTTACATTACGCAACGCGGAGTGGGCATTACCACGTGTGCAAGATTTTGCTACAGCATGGTGCGAATGTGAACGCGTGCACCCGCAGCCTGAGAGCGACGCCTTTGCATCGCGCAGCCAGCATGGGCCATGTTAAAATCCTCAAGCTATTGCTTACTTATAAAGCAGATCCCAATCTGATAGATGTAGACGGCAGGACAGCTCTGCATCGGGCTATTCCAACGATAGCCGGATCCGCAACAATGACTGAAGGCGTCGAGATCCTTCAGTCATTGTTGCGGATCACTGATCGCACCATCAAAGACAAAACCGGGCAAACTGTCGATGACGTGTTTGAAAGTTGGAAAATGACGCAGAGTGAAGACGAAAAAATAAAAATAATGGAGAGATTGTTTTATCATAATCAGGAATAATAAGGTGAGAAATTTGGTGAAAAATGTGTGGAAGTGCAAGTATGCATTTTCTTTTTACTTTTAGAACATATTATTATAGTCAAGGCGGAAAACGATTTAACAGAGGAGTACAATAACTTCTTATAATTATGATTTTTAACTTTTTTTCGTTGTATCAAAAACTATTTAAGATAAAAATTTTATACAAAAGTTTTATAATAGAATCACCTTTATTTATCGTATCAGTTTTTTTAAATATTGAAAATATGATTTTTGGAAATATATATTTTTTTTAAATATTGACGTGGATAAATAAAAATATTTTTATTGTAAAAATTTTGTACACAATATTTTTAAATACCTTGAATAGTTTTTGAGATATAACGAAAAAAAGCTATAAACTTATTTCACTATTTTTTCAAACTGTTATTTTCTAAATTCATCTATGTTTATGAAATTTATATGTATACTAGATTTTCATTAAAATCAGAATTTAGTATTTTGCATCCTTTGCGAGGTTGTCTTGTTAAATAAAAGCCACCTAAAAGTCATCTAAAAGTAAGATTGATTTATAATAACATCAATCATATTACTTTACATTCAACAATATAATTGTTATATAACAGCATGTATTAAATTACATTAATATTATTGAGTGCGAAATTATAATGTTTTATATATATATATATATATATATGTTACTTTTAGTTGATATATCGAATTGGAGAGAAATAAAAATATTATAAAAGTATGTATACTTGTATCAAGACTTGTTTTCACGCTTATAAATAAACAAAAATGAATCTCTATAATATATGTCGGATAGATAATAATCTGCGAAATCTGATAAAGTCTGCGAAAAGACTTCTCGATGCTCAAGAAATAGGATGAAAAACTGTATGACTGTTTGAAGGAACTTCCGAATTCTAATGTAATAAGAATTATATTAACAACGTGATAAAAATATAATATTAATAAAATTTTTTCAAAAAGAAAAAATATTACTATTACTTTTCTTGTAATAGTATAACAGTACTTTAAAGATCATTAGATTCCCATTAGTTACCTTCTTCTGACATTTCAACAAACCTGATAATTTACTGAATTACAGACAAAAAAATTAGGATACAAGAGACTTGTTCTCTTTAGTTGAACTTCTTGCACGATTTATCTTTTTTCTGTTTTCCTCTAATAATGGGGAGGAACAGAAGAAAAATGAATACAAGTTTGAGTTAAAAAGGATGTCTTACGAGACATTTTTCTTTAGCTGAAATCTACGAGATGGCCCATGGAGGGAGGGGGGGATTAATCAATTGTTATTTTAAATAGAGAATAAGAAAAATAAGATGATGATCAGAAATATTTGTATCATTTCATTAAATGTTTACAAAAATACCAAATATCGCCAAATATTATTGATCTTTATTTAAAGAATATTAGAATTAACATTTTTTTAAACAAAAAATTAAATAGATTTTTTTAATTTCTAAAGTATATATCGTTTAAGAATGTAGTATTTCGAAAATTGATAAAATTGATATTTAATAATTTTTATAAACACTAATACAAAAATATTTTCAATCATTTTCTGTTTATACATAAATAAAACTGCCAAATGTTTTTTTTTTATTAAAAATTACTTTATTTTGCTTATTCCTTATGCGTTTAAAAATGACAGCTGATTAGTTTCAATTTTCCAGAGGATACTCTGTTATAATACTAGCCAATTACTGAAAGGTAGTAATTACTTATTTGGAGTAAAAGCGTTATATATTTTAACTTTTAAAAAATACTTAAGCTAAGTAATTAATTACTGTCTTTCAATATTAAATTGATTAGATCAGTATCAGATTTCTACAAGAGTTTCAGATGGTTCCTGCAAAAATATCTAAAATATTTTAAGTCTTGTGTTTCGATTTTAGATTTTTGTTGCCCGAAGAAACATTCACGGACGACAACGCAAAGCGATGCGACGCGACGTTCTCGTGAAAGAGTACGATATATACACGCGTCCGTCCGTCCGTTCGTCCGTCTGCGCGCGCGACGGAGGGACAAAGTCGGACGGACATGCGGCATGCGGCCGCATAGGGTCGTGCACTTGATATTGAAGCGGCTTCGTGGTGCTTCGGCGACGCTCGGCCGTTTCCGGGTGTTCTCGATGCACGTTACGCGGTAGGCCGCCGGAGCCCCCGGAGGAACGGACGGCGGTGGAGTCTCGCGATAAAACAGCGGTGCCACCTATCGGCGCTACCACCCTTTCCCCTCTCTCACTTGGAATCGTTCGTGGCGCGGCCGCGCCAGTCGTTGCACGATGGGGAGTCGTCAGTCGTTTCACGAGTGGTACCAACCGCGGGTTCGTTCGCGCGTGCCGTCAAAGCAAAAGCGTGGCGTCGCTCGCGCCCGTTTTTCGTCGTCGACGTTTCCAACCATCAACGTTTACGCGTGAAACCCGTGGGAAAAATAAGTGTGGCGTACTCACGGCACGGTATTCGTAACACGGGACAGTCGTCGCGTCAGTGACAAAATATCGGGCCGCTCCGCGTTCTTTTTCTTTCTTTCTTTCTTTCTTTCTCTCTTCTGCTCTCGCTCTCGCGCACGACGCCGCTCTCATCGTCGTTGCCGTCGCTCAGTCGCTAGATCGCTGGATCGTCTCCGCGGCTTTTACGTCCACGCCCGTTTCGCTCCGCTCCGTTTCGTTTCGAGCGAGAGCTCCGCTTTTTCCCCGTCGTCGCGATCTCGCGGCGCGAGTGACAAACAATCGGCCGAAGACCGTGCGGCGATGTAACGTCGTCGCGCTGCTCTGTGACGTCACGCACGTCGGGTCGCGCTAATCGAGAAGTATACACAGAGAGAGAGAGAGAGAGAAAGAGAGACACACATACACGCGCGCGCCCAACTCATACCCTGAGCGGACAGCGCGCGCGCGCGCGCTCTCCGTCCGTCATCATCGTCGTCGTCGTCGTGGTGTCATCGTCGTCACCGTTGCACGCTACGTCTCCATCTCCTGCGTCTCTGTCCACATACACATATACATACACACATATACACACTCGTACGCGCGCTTCGTTATACGCAATAACGCGAAGAGACGAGAAAGAGAGAGGAAGAGAGAACGCGCGGTGTGTGTCTGTTGCGTGCAAACGGTGAGAGATAGAGCGAGACGGAGGAAGGACAGAGAGAGAGCGTGCCTGGTAAGATCGCGAGGAACGGTCGCGGGGAGAAGTGTAAGCGAGAGCGCGATAGATAATAAATAAGGACGGAACAGTGAGAAAGACAGAGCGAGAGAGAGTGAGAGAGGAGAGAAAGAACACACACGCATACATATATGCGCTCTCGCCGTGAGCGCGGAGTCGACGGGGCCGAGGGAAAGGGTGAGGAGGAGGGCGGGGCGGGGGACGAGAGCGGGGAGCGGGACGTTCTGCCGCTGCCACCGCCGCCGCGACGTACTTGCGTGTACTGTCCAGTAACAGTAACAGCAACAGCAACAGCAACAGCGGGCGCGAGAAGGAGGTACACGCCGTTGCGGAGGATGAGAAGAGCGGCGAGGCCGCCGGCCGCGAGATACAGCTACACTGCGAGCAGATAGACCCTTCTGGAAGGCTCGAAGCGCGACGCGGCGCCCCGTACGACGTTTCCGTATTCGCGTCGCGTCGCGTCCTATTATTATTATCATCATCGTCGCCGTCGTTGCAGCGCGCAGCAACGTCGCGCTGCTGGCACGCGCGCGTTTCCGACACACGTGCGAAGCGGAATATAAAAGAGATAAGGCGGACGCGTATCAACCGCATCCCGTGGCGCCCCACTGTGTTTTTCTGCAGAAAGAACGACGATAGAAGAGGAGAAAGAGGAGAGAGAGAGAAGCAGACACGTCGCTCTGTATTTCTCAGATATTTCTCTCGCAGCTGGCTCTCGCGACTGTTGTGCGCGCGTCGTTTCCGCTGTCCATCCCCCTGTGTTACGTTTTTTTGGACCGGCGCTCCAGACTTCGGGGCCTCTCTTGCGAAAGAAAGGAAGAGGAAACGAGTGAGAGAGAGAGAGAGAGAGAGAAAGAAAGAGCGAGAAGATATACAGCCTCGACCTCAAACTCGCCGACGGCAGCGCGAAGCGAGAATGGAATCGTCGTTGTTCCGCGGATAAGTCGGTCGTCGGTCAGTCAGTCAGTCAGTCGAGTCTCTCTCCGCGTGTTGTGTTGCCGTTTCGCGAAAACGTTTCTCTCTTTCGCCG